TAAATGATTATTTCTGTATAAAAGGATTTTATGTATATGAATGTTAGCTGCTTGTTGCCAAATACTACCATGATTATATTTCAATATGATCAATGAAAGATATATATTATTTTGGCCTTTTTTGAATTTTACAAAGTAGGAAAAAAATAATTTTCAGACACAGAGGAACCTATATATTAGTTGAAATACATATTCAAGAGTATTTGTACCCACTACAATTTTTATGAAATAAAAAAATATATTCATACTAATTTTCAATCTCTATAATGTTGATTATGTTGAGCTTACATTACCTGTGATTGCACAATTTCATTCAAACTGTGGTTGATCAATCATTTGTTACCCCTCCCTAGATTATATAATAATTCACAACAAAACCACTTCTTGTTATTTTTCTATCGATCATGGAACTCGACCTATACTTTCTTTTGCCGCCCAATTTATAAACATTCTTATAAAAGAAAAATTGTTCTGAAAGGAAATATACAATTTACACAAAGGAAATCATTTATGTCAATTTGTATTCCTCAATAATATATTAACCCTACTGAGTGAATGAGTTTGTATGGTTTTACGCCGGCTTTAGCAATAGTCCACACATTGTACCCATGTGGGGAATCGAACCCGTGCCTTCGGCCGGACAAACAAAAGCTTTAACCACTAGGCTACCCAGCCGCCCCCTTAACCCTTTTGAACAATTTAGGGCTGCACTGTTACAGTAAACTGCGTTTAAAACGAACACGCTTATAACGAACTGACCGATATAACGAACTAATTGTTTAGTCCTGGCCATTTGTTGTATATATGCTGTATATATGTGCTTATAACGAACTGCGGTTATTACGAACTAAAATGAGTAGTCCCTTGGAGTTCGTTATAACCGTAGTTTACCTTATGTGGTTATCATAGAGCTGTGGTACTATGCCTTGGGTAATACTAAACCTTACTCGCATAGTGAGTGACCGAATGAATTCTTCCAAATCTGCAAAGAAAAACTGAAAACATTCACCCAAGGGATATTATATACGTCAGAACACTGCCCTCTAGATTCCGTACAACGGACCATAGACCACCTTTTCATACGGGCAGTAGGGCGAATGTAGATGAAAGTAATAGAATCTATGAATTATCGGAAAACGTTATTGGCCATGATTTTCATTGTCGTTTAGATTGCCCGTTGTTAAATGAAGTTACTGACCACATTATTACAAGCAAAACCTATCCCATCCCATCCAGATCTGCATCACTAGTGATGAATAATCTTTTCCTTTTTTTTCTTGAAGGTGAACATTTATACAACATCACCAATGGTGAGCTGGCTGTACGATCACATTCCTTACCACATCGTAGACTTCAGAAGGTCCAAGTGAGAGGCGTACATGGAAATTTCATCAACAATTTTTAGATCGTGATGACTTAATACCAATACAAAAATATAATTTAACTTTATTCTCCTTTAAATAATTATGGAGAAAAATTGTAAAGGAGGTGTGATTTTGTGGCACACCAGGCCTTCATGGTTAAAAAAAAATATAGCAAAACTTTCAAAAGTAATTAAGAAAATTAGAATATCAACGGTGGTGATAAGACATTTCGACATTGGTCATTTCATCATTAATTTTGCATGTTTTGGCCTTATACGTTAAATACATATATAGGCATAAGGTCAAATGAACAAAGGAATGTTTTGAACATAATGTGTGTGTACCAATTATAAAACCAGAAATTATTTGACAATGAAGAGAACATAGCAGATACTGACATCACACTCAAGGGCAAAGTGACATTTCTGACATAAACTGTTTACAGAACACGGCAGTAAAATCTTTGTATGTTCCCTTATTTTCCCCATCAGTATATATTTGACCGACTTTCTTTGGGTTTGTTTGTTTGTTTGTTGTTTAACACCGCACTCAGCAATAGTCCATCCATATGTCTGTAAATAATCGAGTCTTGACCAGACAATCCAGTGATTGACATCATGAGCATGGATCCACGCAATTGGGACACGATGACATGCATCAACCAGGTCAGCGAACCCAACCACCCGATCCCATTAGTCGCCTATTACAACAAGCATAGTCACCTTTTACGGCAAGCATGGGTTGCTGAAGACCTATTCTAACCCGGATCTTCGCGGGTATTCTCATTTATAAGTACTTGTATATTCATAAACAAGTGGTATTAAATGCAGTCAAAATGTGTTGCGAAACCCGACAGACATGGAGGTTTCTAAGATCAGATCTTTCATGTACATTTTGACAAGTCATTGCAATGAAAAAACGAATCCGTATCTGAGTGATCTATGACTGTTTGTTGAACGGACATGTCGAGGTATCATATCCTGAAATGAGGCCGAGTGACTCAAATCTCATCATATCATATGTAAACCTCGCTACACGGATGTGTTAGAAGTGGAGTTTTCCGACACATTAGTCAGACTGTGTAAAAAAAACCTTACAATATGAATGAAATACATTTTCGCTCAGCATTTGCGTTTGGCTTATTTTCAATATAGAATACAATTCCTAATACAAGTTACAGTAAACTACGGTTATAGCGAGTGGGACCAATAGTTTTAGTTATGTATTTCAATATTTATATAATATTTCATTGATTCTTCATGCTGCTTATGTAATTCAAGCCAATTTTTCAATTTGTCGATGATCGAAACTGGACCAGACAATCCAGTGACTAAAATCATGAGCATCGATCCACAGTATTGGTTGGTTGGTTTGTTGTTTAACGCCGCACTCAGCAATTTTTAAGCTATATGACGGTGGTCTGTAAATAATCGAGTCTGGACCAGACTTGGGTTCGATAAATTGCATCGACCAAGTCAGCGAGTCTGTCTTTTGTCTTTAATATTCTTATGGGTAATAAACAAAATAACTCACTCCGGACTGCAGGCGGCCAAACTTGTCATGGCGTATTTCACCATACGAAATGTTCGTGTTCAGTTTTCCTTTAATTGCGTCTGTCATTTTCTTGTTCGTTTCTTGATTGTACAAACGTAGTAGCAATCGCAGGACGAACATGTCGTTTCCGGGCGACATCGCACCTTGAAAGTATATGTTGTGGTTCATCTCCATGGGTAATTGTTCTTCTACTTGCGAATGTATTGTGCCTTTCATTTCATTTCGGGAACAAACGTTATACGCCTAAGCAGTCTCTCACGCTTTTAGGCCTCGGAATGTTTGTTTGTTTGCTTGTTTGTTGTTTAAGGCCGCACGGGTCATATGTTATATGTAAAGATTAAGGACCTTGAATTCTAGTAAAAGGCGACTATGCTTGTCGTAAAAGGCGACTAACGGGATCGGATGGTCAGGCTTGCTGACTTTTGTTTGATACATGTCATCGATCCCAATTGCGTGGATCGATGCGCATGATGTCAATCACTGGATTGTCTGGTCAAGACTCGATTATTTACAGACCGCCGTCATATAGCTGGAATATTGCTGAGTGCGGCGTTAAACAACAAACCAACCAACCAGTAACACCTGATACCCGAAAGATCCGGGTTAGAATTGGTCTTCAGTATACCATGCTTGTCGTAAGAGAGAGGCTAGCTGAGTGTCATCGTATGCACAGTGGCCCAGAGGGAAAACATGATATATGTGGTTGCAGGTTCGATTCACGTCATGGAATTTTATGTGAAAGAGATAGTTCGAAAGTAAAACCACCTCAGGTCTAATTTGAAAGAAGTGAATGCTCAAAGCAGGTCTTCTTGAAAGTAAAACCTCCCTTAGTATATTCAAAGTCACTCCCGTTTTCAACTTGATTGAGTCCAAGTACTTGCTGAAAGGTGAAAAGGCGAACAATGGGATGACGTCACTGGAAGTTTGAATGACAACAAAAACAAATCTTTAAGGTATGTCTTTGATAAACACTGAAAATAGGCAAAAAGTGTTTTTTTCACTCGAGTGATATAAACATGTTATTCCACTCGAGGGAGATAAATACCGTAGATATTTCAGATAAATACCGTATTTTCACCACTAAAGACATACTTATATATACATACATTGTTTAACCTTGCTGTAGTGAGAGCTAAATTTCTAAAATGTGATGGGCGTTTGTTTGTTTGTTTAACTCCGCATTCAGCAATATTTCAGCGGCCTTTAAATAATCGAATCTCTGGACCTGACTATCCGGTGACTGATGTTATGAGGAACGAAGCACGCCGTCGGGGTACGTTGACATGCTAAACACAAAGTCATCGTGACCGACCACGCCATCGGGGTACGTTGACATGCTAAACACCAAATCACCGAGACCGACCACACCATCGGGGTACGTTGACATGCTAAACACCACGTCACCGACACCGACCACACCATCGGGGTACGTTGACATGCTAAACACCAAGTCACCGAGACCGACCACACCATCGGGGTACGTTGACATGCTAAACACCAAGTCACCGAGACCGACCACGCCATCGGGGTACGTTGACATGCTAAACACCAAGTCACTGAGACCGACCACGCCATCCATTGACTCGCCTCGTCACAGACAAGCATAGGTTGCCGAGGACAAAATCTGACTCCATGTAAAAGGTGAAACTAGCAGACTCATGCATTGATTACCTTTAAGTATTCATGAATAATCAATCATAGTGAATCAATCACATATCCTACTTTTGCAATCAACTAATGAGTAATGTTGATAACCACTCTGAGAATCTGTTAAAAGCATCATCCATTAGCGATCGCGCGGGTCTGATTCATGTCGAGTTATGTCACAAATGATAAAGAGAAGGGAATGTATATCTATTACACATCATAATTATTGATGAAGATGTGCCATTGTGATAGCACAGTATTAAACACCTGAAAACATCCGTTTGTATTGGCTGCAGTCAGATAATACATCCCATTAAATAATGTTGCTGTGGTGCTAGAGGATGTGCGTGGGGACATTCACTTGCCTCTTCAATAAGATACATCGAGTCGATGAAGCAAGGCTGATGAGTACGCTGCCAGTTCACTTCTTTCACTATGGCATCGAACACACGGACTGCAGTATCAATGTGTATTATTGGCTTTGTTGTGACATTCTCCATGCCTCTCAAAGGTCCTGTGACCAGATCCATCATGTCAAGTCAAGACCATGTAACTAAATCCAATGCGTCCGTCACAGACACTGTGACCAGCTCCACCTTGACAGCCACAGACGCTGTGATCAGCTCCACCTTGTCAGTCACAGACCCTGTCACCAGATCCAACGTGTCTCTCACCGATGCTCGAGACAAGACATCCACCGTGTCTCTCACAGATGCTCAAGACAGAACACCCACCGTGTCTCTCACAGATGCTCGAGACAGAACACCCACCGTGTCTCTCACAGATGCTCGAGACAGAACTACCACCGTGTCTCTCACAGATGCTCAAGACAGAACATCCACCGTGTCTCTCACAGATGCTGGAGACAGAACATCCACCGTGTCTCTCACAGATGCTCAAGACAGAACACCCACCGTGTCTCACACAGTTGTTCGAGACAGGACATCCACCGTGTCTCTCACAGATGCTCCAGACAGAACACCCACCGTGTCTCTCACAGATGCTCGAGACAGAACATCCACCGTGTCTCTCACAGATGCTCGAGACAGAACATCCACCGTGTCTCTCACAGATGCTCGAGACAGAACACCCACCGTGTCTCTCACAGATGCTCGAGACAAGACATCCACCGTGTCTCTCTCAGATGCTCAAGACAGAACACACACCGTGTCTCTCTCAGATGCTGGAGACAGGACATCCACCGTGTCTCTCACAGATGCTGGAGACAGAACATCCACGGTGTCTCTCACAGATGCTCAAGACAGAACACCCACCGTGTCTCACACAGTTGTTCGAGACAGGACATCCACCGTGTCTCTCACAGATGCTCAAGACAGAACACCCACCGTGTCTCTCACAGATGCTCGAGACAGAACATCCACCGTGTCTCTCACAGATGCTCGAGACAGAACATCCACCGTGTCTCACACAGATGCTCGAGACAGAACATCCACCGTGTCTCACACAGATGCTCGAGACAGAACATCCACCGTGTCTCACACAGATGCTCAAGACAGAACATCCACCGTGTCTCTCACAGATGCTCGAGACAGAACATCCACCGTGTCTCTCACAGATGCTCGAGACAGGACATCCACCGTGTCTCTCACAGATGCTGGAGACAGAACATCCACCGTGTCTCACACAGATGCTCAAGACAGAACATCCACGGTGTCTCTCACAGATGCTCGAGACAGAACATCCACCGTGTCTCTCACAGATGCTCGAGACAGAACACCCACCGTGTCTCACACAGATGCTCGAGACAGAACAACCACCGTGTCTCTCACAGATGCTCGAGACAGAACATCCACCGTGTCTCTCACAGATGCTCGAGACAGAATATCCACCGTGTCTCTCACAGATGCTCGAGACAGAACTACCACCGTGTCTCTCACAGATGCTCGAGACAGAATATCCACCGTGTCTCTCACAGATGCTGGAGACAGAACATCCACCGTGTCTCTCACAGATGCTGGAGACAGAACATCCACCGTGTCTCTCACAGATGCCCGAGACAGAACATCCACCGTGTCTCTCACAGATGCTCGAGACAGAACATCCACGGTGTCTCTCACAGATGCTCGAGACAGAACATCCACCGTGTCTCTCACAGATGCTCAAGACAGAACACCCACCGTGTCTCACACAGATGCTCGAGACAGAACAACCACCGTGTCTCTCACAGATGCTCGAGACAGAACATCCACAGTGTCTCTCACAGATGCTCGAGACAGAACATCCACCGTGTCTCTCACAGATGCTCGAGACAGAACATCCACGGTGTCTCTCACAGATGCTCGAGACAGAACATCCACCGTGTCTCTCACAGATGCTCAAGACAGAACACCCATCGTGTCTCTCTCAGATGCTCGAGACAGAACATCCACCGTGTCTCTCACAGATGCTCGAGACAGAATATCCACCGTGTCTCTCACAGATGCTCGAGACAGAACTACCACCGTGTCTCTCACAGATGCTCGAGACAGAACATCCACGGTGTCTCTCACAGATGCTCGAGACAGAATATCCACCGTGTCTCTCACAGATGCTCGAGACAGAACTACCACCGTGTCTCTCACAGATGCTCGAGACAGAACATCCACCGTGTCTCTCACAGATGCTCGAGACAGAACATCCACCGTGTCTCTCACAGATGCTCGAGACAGAACACCCACCGTGTCTCTCACAGATGCTCGAGACAAGACATCCACCGTGTCTCTCTCAGATGCTCAAGACAGAACACACACCGTGTCTCTCTCAGATGCTGGAGACAGAACATCCACCGTGTCTCTCACAGATGCTGGAGACAGAACATCCACCGTGTCTCTCACAGATGCTCGAGACAGAACATCCACCGTGTCTCTCACCGATGCTCGAGACAGAACATCCACGGATTGGTGGTTCCCCATATCATCAACTCAAATATTTACGTCAACTCCAAACTTCGCAACAACGATTGGTGGAAACTCATTTGACAGATTCCTGGGTGTGGAGGGCCCCAAGAGGCGTGTCTGTCCCGAAGGTCAAGTCTACGTCGACGGCGTAAGTTAACATTGATATTTTCAATTAATCCAGGTCCGTATTCCCTCTACTCACCACTGCGCCGTTGAAGGGGCATCTGAACTGTAAGATTCAATGTTAACCTTACCATTCCTTGGGAAATTATTCGGGTTAGAAAAGGACGAGGTTTGATTAGGTTGTTTGTCAACAAGCACCTTCACTGCCCTCGTACATATGTTTTGCGCGTTTATGACTAATGACTCGATCATGTTTGTTTGTTTGTTGTGTAACGCCGCACTCAGCAATATTCCTGCTATATGACGGCGGTTTGTAAGTAATCGAGTCTGGACCAGGCAATCCAGTGATTGACATCTTGAGCATCGATCCACGAAATTGTGGGATCGATGACATTCATCAACCAAATCAGTGAGTCTGACCACCAGATCCCGTTAGTCGCCTCTTACGACAAGCATAGTCGCCTTTTACACCAAGCATGGGTTACTGAAGACCTATTCTACCCCGGATCTTCACGGGCTGATCATGTAGAGGGATGGGACAGGATGACTGTAATTACTTATACTCCAAGAGAAAATCTTACTGCGGGATACTGCATGATAGCAACATCTAAAAAATTAGTCGAGGCAAAATATTGGCACAACTCAGTAGTCATGACGACACACACACACACTCACACTCACTCACTCACTCACTCACTCACTCACTCACTCACTCACTCACTCACACACACACACACACACACACACACACACAAACACACACATATATATATATATATATATATATATATATATATATATATATATATATATATATATATATCAGTATTACATTTCATTTTGCCTGTGTGGTAGTTACGCCACTGTTGGTAAATTCAGGTGGAACTATATTAACCTCGTGGCGTAGACGTAGTTGATGACAATAATAAAGAGGTTATATCACTGTCAACAACATGCTGGTATACTATTTGAGACGGTTTTCAAAATGATCATATGATATCAACAAGCAGTTCTATGGATGACAACTTAACTATAAAAACTATTGCAACTGTGTGCCAAAAGTAAAAATACATTAATAAGAACATCTTGTAAACAATGTATTTTTTGGTGGCAGACAAGTAGTCTTTCCAACTGTCTGAAGCATAAATATGTTTTATAAGCATTTTCGGGGAAATTTTTATTTTTTATAATATCCGATTGAAATCTAGTTTCATCGTGTAAAATGTATGTATAGTCACTGTTATTTTAGTACATTTCAGTAAATTCAAATAGGCCTTTACCAATATGTCTAGACTTTTAGATCAGTGATGCACTTAGCTGTGCTGTTCTGTAGTTGAAGGAGCGTTTGACAGTGATACCAATACAAGGTTTGATAACTGTTCCAGGTTTGCTACGTGACGCATTCACCCCCTTATGAATGGACTCCACCTTCATCTACATGGGAACACACACCATCACCTTCTACTGCAGTGGAGTACACACCAACACCTTCAAATGTGCAACAACCTTCTTCAAAAAGAAAACACCTGGAACCACCAACTACAAGAGGAAATATGGAACCACCTACTTCAGGAGGTTATGTATCACCGCCTTCGTTACCCTCACAAGAAAATGATACTGCACCAGTTTATATAAACACCCCTACTCGTTCTTCGACTACCCACAACTACAGAGGTGGACATACGGCGCACCGTAACTCCACGGGGACGATTCGGACATCAGGTGTTGCAGAAGAGGACCTATCACCTGCGTCTGAACCAACGTCAATAGCCACTTCTCCTGCACATAAGAAAGCTAAGTCATTAACGACTTCACATTTGCGGTGTAATCATATAATCTTAAACAACTCAACATTAAAAAAATACCCGAATGGGTCTGTAGCTGTGAAAGGTGGTCGTGTATTAAATGAAAGTGACTTCATCCTCACATCAACTGGACATCTAAAAGTATGCGTGACAGCTCTTGGTTCACAAGGTTCAAGCAAAAATGAAAAGTTTAAAATTGATCTTAATCGCCCAACAGTGGTGTTGACGAACATATGTCTGGTGTCTAGCCAGGTGTTCCTGCTTCTCACTTTCATCTTTCACTGCTTCTTCCCCAACCTCAGGAATCTGCCTGGCGTGATTCTCATGTTCCTGTCGGCATCTCTGTTTCTGGCACATGCAACCTTCTTCTTTGGGAGTGCCCAAGCATACAATCGTACAACCTGTATTGCTATTGGAGCAGTCATCCACTTCTTCTGGCTTGCATCCTTCTGTTGGCTTAACATCTCTTCTTTCCACACATTCAGAGTCTTTAGAGACGTATTTTCGTCTCGTAGTTTTGAATCCAACAAGAAGAGAATCATCCTCAAATACTGCATCTTTGGCTACGGCACTCCAGCTGCTGTTGTTGCGACAACGATGACATCAAACTATTTCGTCTCTGGGTCTGTGTCTTTCGGTTATGCAGATACATCAAACTTCTGCTTCGTCTCAAATGGAACTAACGGCATTGTTGGGTTGTTGGTCCCAGCAGGAATGACTATCTTGGTCAGTTTCACCCTCTTCACTTTGACCGTCGTTTACCTATGTAGGGCCTCGGCCAACAGACGAAAGGTGGGTAATGAGGTCAAATGGAACATTTTAATGTACATCAAACTATCTACTATAACTGGTTTCTCCTGGGTCTTTGGCTTTCTACAAATGGCTGACAAAAGCAGTCAGGTTTTCACGTATCTGTTTATTATTTTGACTGGCGCTCAAGGTGTGCTCATCTTTATGGCTTTCATGGCAAACAAACGCACTTTCCTTCTCGTTAAAAATGCTTGTCGAAAACAAAAGAAGGGTAGCACATATTCTACATCGTCGTCTGCAATTGACACACAACGTCGTGTCTCATCTGAGGGGAAGGACATAAATAAGGTGTAGAGACTAAATATCAAACTTATGTGTTATCCAAACTCAAACAAGGATAAAACATACGTTAAGTTCACATGGAAATAATACCCGAATCCTCGAATGCGGCAACAAATGTGAAGAGGATGCCAACCACGAATCGACAACAAGAAAATGTTATTTGAACGACAGGTAAAATGAATTGAAGTCCGTTCTTATTTAGGTCAGCTGAACATGTTTACGGCTTTAGAGAAAGGTGTACCCAAGCTTGGGTGACATTTAGCATGCCCACAAGTTCATAGATGTTATGGTATCGCGAGCATCTGGCGTCGTCACTGATTTTCAGTGATATATGTTCACCGCTATATTTTTTTTCTATTCAGGCGGATAATCGAGACTGGTTACTATTGTCTGACGTTGACGTGCTGTTATTCACAGAATATCCCATGGTGGCGTTTCACTTAATTTAAACTTACTTGTTAATACGATTGTTGTAAGGGACCGACATTTGCCACACTACTTACATTTAGGCTCATAGATTTAAGCATGTCCATGGAGAACGAGTTCGTAGATATTGTGGCTTCTTTTACAGATTACCTTATTGTAGCGTTTCACGTAGTTAACTTACTTGTTAATACGGTGTCGTAAACATGTCATCCTGTATGTACATTCGGTACCATGAAAATCATTTGCATAATGCAAACAATTGATTGTAAGTTTTCAGACATTAGCAATATGCATATGTAGCGACTATTAAGTGAATTAGCTTTTCGCGTGAGTTGATCTGCTGTATATAACTGCAACCGTGTTGGTATATATCTGTTGTTTTATATCTTCCTGGCCTTTCACGGGGTAGACACAATTTTATGGATAACAACTTCTTTAATACTGTAAAAGTATTAAAGAAGTTGTTGTCCATAAAATTGTGTCTACCCTGTCATCCGTCAACTTCTAAGTAATGACTATCAAATAATTTTTCCTTAATTGTGTTTATATTGTAGATGCATAGAAACGAAACATTTCAAAACTAAAATTAATGCTTGCTTTATAAATCACAGCGAAAGGGACAATGATTTGTTCGGGGTATTACTATTGCTTATTATGCAGGTTTTTTTAAAATCATAAAAATAATAACAGTTAAATGCCACCTTAGAAGCTACGATGCCTTGAAACCTGATACGTAATCCGTAGGATTCATGTTTATTCCAAGTATCATTAACGGACACTCTACGGAAGCCCATTTTGGCCACAAAATTGCTATTTGTATTTTGAACCCTGGTGGGCTTCCGAAAATTATATATTTGAATTTTCATCTTTATTTTGGTGTCGACAGCTCTAGTTGACATTGACAAAGGCATTTTATTTTAACCATGTTGCCCTTACACAAAAGGTAATCTGATAGTGCGGAATTCCGTTCCAGGAATAACATGGCATTATAACCAGGTTTGTAGTATAACCAGGTTGGTAGTATAACCAAGTTGGCATTATAACCAAGTTGGCAGTATAACCAGGTTGGCATTATAACCAGGTTGACAGTATAACCGGGTCGGCAGTATAACCAGGTTGGCATTATTACCAGGTTGGCAGTATAACCAGGTTTGCAGTATAACCGGGTTGGCATTATAACCAGGTTGGCTGTTGACCAAGTTGGCAGTATAACCAGGTTGGCAGTATAACCGGGTTGGCATTATAACCAGGTTGGCAGTATAACCAGGTTGGCATTATTACCAGGTTGGCAGTATAACCAGGTTGGCAGTATAACCGGGTTGGCATTATAACCAGGTTGGCAGTATAACCAGGTTGGTAGTGTAACCGGGTTGGCAGTATAACCAGGTTGGCAGTATTACCAGGTTGGCAGTATAACCAGATTGCACTGTAATCAGTTTGTACGTGTATGATGTTTCATTTTCACGTGTGTTGTATTCACTTACAAACGTCATTTTATACTTATGGAGCCATATTTTTATCTGAATGTTCCTTTGTCCATCCATGTAAGTGCAGTAGAAAAACCTTTAATAAAGTTTTCCCACAAAGCGCTCTTGTTTTGTATTTAAACGTTGATGTTGTCAAAGGGCGATATACTTCTTCAAAACACTAGTTTGGCGGAGTGGGCAAGCGGTCAAAACCCCAGGTACTGTAACGCACTGGTTACCGACTTGTTATTCAGACTTGGGACCAACAATGTTTACAGGTCTTTACTGTGTTATCACTACCCCTTGCCTAGTGTACAGTGCATATATCCTGTGCACTCAAAAGAACCCACTCGTCCGATGGTAGATGACCAGATGGTGGAAACACGTTCAACACAAGTGTCAAAACTTGTGGTGTCAACCTGGGCAAGTAACGTAGTCCAAATGTACCTCTGTCCAACCAGCAGGGAATGGGTACCCGATATGTGATGTAGATGTAAAATATCCTAGCGCCCGTAGGCAGTCTGGGTTGTATACTCCCCATGGAGTTGAGAATGATAACTAGAATGAAAACGGATCCATTGGTCGGTGAACAAATAAAACTACACTTGAGCAGATACTAGTTCCTGATACGTGCGGTATATAAATGTACCATTTAATTAAAATAAAATATAGTGGAGTTGGCGCTTATTGCAGTGTTTTATTGTCACAATGTTGGGCACTTTATGGAGTGATTGACTTGTTTGTGTGATCTGGAGAACAACCCAGTGAGGGAAAATATAACTTGAAAAACAAAATCTTCTGATTCTTCATGGCCTTTGTTCTCCCCCCAGCAAAAGTTTCTGGTCGTAAGCTCGGTGACTTGGTTGACTACGGTATTAAATTCAATATCAGATGCAGCGATATGGAACAGAGAGTATTGCAAAAAACACATAGTGGGAAATCTGCAACTCTAGTTATTGCCAATGTCAACAGGAAAACATGGATGCGGGTGGAAAGACTGCAGAGGGTTAAGATATTCAACACACAATCCCCATTGTCTCCGTTGTAGAAATGTAAATACATTATGCGAAAATATCACAATATTTCATTTAGGCTACAGAGGCGCTTGTAACCACAATGCTTTTAAGAATCACCTTTCAAGTACAGGGACTCCAGATATTTCACGTACGTTTCCTTAGGTTCATGTAAAGTGTGTTGGAAACATAAAATTATTGATAAATGTTGTTTTCTTTCTTTCTTGTGGCTTATAAAACAGATAAAACATCCATCTCTACGTCCACATCTACATCCGCGTCTACATCCACACCCACTTCCGCTTCCACGTCCACCTCCACATCTTCTTCCACAACCACATCCACGTCCACATCCACATCTACGACCACACCCGCGTCTACAGCAACATCAACATCCACTTCCGCGTCCACTTCCACATCCACATCAAATTCCACATTCAAATTCACGTCTACATCCACGTCTACGGCAACCTCCAGGTCCACATCCACCTCCACGCCCACTTCCGTCTACATCCACATCTACATCCACGTCTACATCCGCGTCAACATCCACATGCACATACACTTCCGCTTCCACGTCCACCTCCACATCTACTTCCACAACCACATCCACGTCTACATCGACGTCCACATCTACGACCACATCCGTGTCTACATCCATATCCACTTCCGCGTCGACGTCCACATTCACATCAATTTCCACATTCAAATGCACGTTCACGTCCACATCCACGTCCACGCCTACAATAGATTTTGAAGTTGCATTGCTACAATGTGCCAAGCCCATTTCTGTATAGTTGCTGCCGTATAGTTGCTGCAATATTGCTGACAGTGGCGTAAAACCCTAATCACCCGCTCGCTTATCATCCGCATCCGCCTCTTAACATCCGCAAGATAATCTCTCGATGTTTTATCCAACAAGGAGAAAATCATCCCAAATACTTAATGTTTGGCAAATACGCGCGTGGTGTCATGTGGGAGACTGTTATATACTACTGAAAAGAAGTTAAGGATCACCCGATTCTTTCATATTGGTAATGTTAATCTGTCATGGCATGAGAGATTAACTATTGTAATATGAAAGAATCAGGTGATCCTTAACTTCTTTTGAGTAGTATACATCCGTAAGAGGCGACAAACGGGATCGGGTGGTCTGGCTCGCTGACTTGGTCGATGCATGTCATCGATCCCAATTGCGTGGATCGATGTTCATGATGTCAATCACTGGATTGTCTGGTCCAGACTCGATTATTTACAGACCGCCGTCATATAGCTGGAATATTGCTGAGTGCGGCGTGAAACAACAAACAAACTAAACTGTTGTACATCCGGGTATGCCGAATTATCGTTCATTCGTCGTCTTCAGTGGAATATATATATATATTGTCAATCAAGGCTGGCAATCCTTTCACACACTTCAATTTGTATCTGTGTCCAATGAAATCAGTTACATCATGAGTGTTTGGTAAACATCCGCACCCCTTCCTATTTCTTTATTCATAATATAAATGAGTACTTGGTGTTTATTTACATTGATTTAAAACATATTTGTTTTCACATCTTAATTATTCATGTTTTGTTTGTGTGCTGTTTAACAACGCACTCATTTATTTCGTTCCCTTGTGTGGGCGTTATAAGTGAAAATAGCCTAAGAAGGCGAACAAGGTACCAGTAAATCATCGTTCCCCTATGTGGGCGTTGTAAGTGAAAATAGCCTCAGAAGGCGAACAAGGTACCAGTAAATCATCGTTCCCCTATGTGGGCGTTATAAGTGAAAATAGCCTCAGAAGGCGAACAAGGTACCAGTAAATTATCATGGTGTAAAAATGCTACAAATATACTAAAAATCCCACGAAACACAAATAATGTTTTTTTTTGTTGTTGTTTAACGCCGCACTCAGCAATATTACAGTTATATGACGGCGATCTGTAAATAATCGACTCTCTAACAGACAATCAAGTGCTTGACATAATGAGCATCGATCCACGCAATTGGAATACGATGACATGCATCAACGTAGTAAGCGAGCCTGACCACCCGATCCCGTTAGTTCCCTCTTACGACAAGTATAGTCGGCATTTATGGCAAGCACGGGTTGCTGAAGATCTATTCTATCCCGGATCTTCACGGGTGACAAATAATGTATAGATCTGCACAATCTAGTATAAGGTGGGGTGAAATGGGGTTTAACGTCGCGTCCAAGATTTTTGTACTTATATAGCGACGTGCATATACATGTACACGTGTGTGTGTGCTTGTGTGTGGCTGCTTGTTCTAGTCAGGACTGATGCCGATTTATAGTGCTAGCTCACTGAGGATATGTACCATGCCGCAGTTAAACATGAATACCCACAGACACAGTATACTGACTCCGGGCCGTCCAGTCCTTGTTTTGGCCCCTTAATGCCGAGCGCCAGATAGGGTAACAACAAGTACTATCTTTTAACGTATTTTGGTATGACGCGGACGGGGATCGAACCCCGACATTCCGCTCTCCGGGCGGACGGTAGACCTGGGAGGCGGTCCAGTATAAATTCTTAAATTCAAGTGGACCAATGCAATTTACAATTTCCTAAACTTTGAATTTAATAAAAAAGTTAATAATAAATAAAATATATTTTTAAAGTTTTAAATTGCAGAGAACCGAATACTGAAACATAAAGCGGTCAAAATTAAAGTATAGAGTTTGGCTTTAACCAGTGATCGCGGGGCCGAATCCCGGATACCTCCAGATCATGTTTCCAGGTTTTTCAGCACCATACACGTACGACCGACTCCGTGGTCTATTGGTAGAGCGTCCGCCCGGAGAGCGGAAGGTCCGGGGTTCGATGCCCGGCCGCGTCATACCAAAAGACGTTAAAAGATGGTACTTGTTGTTACCCTGTCTGGCGCTCGGCATTAAGGGTCTAAAACAAAGACTGGTCGGCTCGGAGTCAGTATACTGTGTCTGAGTGGGGTATTCATGTTAAACTGCGGCATGGTATCTCAGTGGGCTAGCACTTTAAATCGGCATCAGTCCGGACTAGTACAAGCAGCCACACACACAAAGACAGGTGCATGCACGTCACTATATAAGTGCAACAATCTTGGACGCGACGTTAAACCCCATTTCACTTCACCTCACCAAACAAGTGATCATGAGTTCCAACCGAAGTGGATAAACAGGTAATATATCATCTGCGTCGCCTCGGGCGTCCTCCGATATCAAGCTGATATCCCATGTTAAACCAAACTGTCAATTGTGTAACCGGTTATAATAGAAACACTATAGACCCGTGAAGATCCGGGGTAGACTAGGTCTTCAGCAACCCATGCTTGCTGTAAAAGACGACAATGCTTGTGTAAGAGGCGACTAACTGGATCGGGGGGTCAGGCTCGCTGACTTGGTTGATGTATATCATCGTATCCCAATTGCGTGGATCGATGCTGATGATGTCAATCACTGGATTGTCTGGTCCAGGCTCGATTATTTACAAACGTCACATAGCTGGAATATTGCGGAGTGCGGCGTTAAACAACAAACAAACAAACAAGAAACACTAAAGAACCATAGGTTTTCTGAGAAATGTCAGAATGTCAGGAATAACACAAATGTACGTATGTACCATTTATTTAATCTCGTGACTCCACTCTTGTGCCCTCTTTATAAGGCTAGTCCACTGAGATACCATACCGCAGTTGGACATGGATACCCCACTCACAGTATATGCTGACTCCGAGCCGACCATCCCCTTATGCCGAGCGCCAGGCAGAGTAACAAGTACCATCCTAGCACGGCTAATTGGAGCGTAAATGTAATGTAACAATACAACCTAACTGTTTTTATCATTGGATCATTCCACATGATGTTCTGAATTACTGATCCAACTGTTTCCGTGTTATCCTGGACAGAAGTTTGACCACGTATTATTTTCGTTTCACGCTTCGGTCATTTCTGGATTTCAAGAGTTATCCTCTTATGAATGAATGTCCGCTAGACGGCGCTGCAGTATTCGAAAATGGCGGCATTCAAAAGGAAAGCATGAGGATTTGATTGATATATATCGGCTACTCAAACTAAGCGTTATTTTCACGTAAGAATTTTTAAAAATATTTTGCTTAACACCCTTTCCGTATTTTATAAACAAAATTGTTCTTCATGCCGACGATTGTGTTTTCATTACAACCTATACCGGTATTGTCCTATTTTCGATATATGCGTCCAGATTATTTAAGAAGTATTAGATATTAGCAATTCATTTACCATACGCCAAAGAACAGGTCTGTTATTGTATGTGGTATGGTAATATGTTAAGAAGGAATTCCGCCCCTGCTTCAAAGTCTGCTTGGGTTAGGTCGAGAGCAACTTGACCCTACGTAAATGATTTTTGTCTACTTCTCGACAGGGTTTATGGTTATTTATAAAATGGAGGCAGGGAATAAGGGCGGAAGTTTAGCATAATGTCCACGAAAACACTTCAAACACCAAAAGCGAGTGTGGTGCGATCCTTGATCAGTTTATAATTATATGCTGATATGACTGTGTCTTTCATACGTTTCATACACTGACACAGTCACAAATGGGCATCAATACAGTTTACCGGGCAGAGCTTATATAGCGCTGTCTGTCGGCTGTTTCTCTCGCTTCACAGATGTTGCATGCCTTCTTGATCCTTAGTATTATTTGTGTTAGAGATAGGGTAGGTTTTCCCCACCTATATCCTTAGCCCTTGTATCCCCGTCACCATCAAGCACCCCTTTACGGTCATTAGGGTTACGTATTCCTTTCCGATCAAACACCCTACCTGGATGTATCCATTTCTATCCCCTTCACTATATAAGTGCAATAATCATGAGTGCAATGTGAAACCCCATTTCACTTCACCGCACCTCACCTTTCCATACCTTGAATAGGACTTCCAATTGGCCTGTGTCTAGTCTCTCATTGATTGGTACTGTTATGTCAAATTCAGGGCGCTTACCTGGGTTGGTCTGTGAATCCTGGGAGTCCCAGGCATAAATACCGGCTGAAGCATCATGCTTGTGATAGATGGGCATTTCTTTGTTTGAAACACAGCAGTGATTGAGTAAAGACACTCTCTCTGTCATCAGAAGTAAAAATCACTCAACATTGTTTGAATGTCACAGAAGTCAACAGTGATTGAGTGAAGACCCTCTGTCATCAGAAGAGAAAAACACTCTGAACATTGACTGAATGTCAACAACAAGCAAACAAAGCGCAGAAGAGGCAAGGTTTTGTAATCTGGTTTGCAGTGTTTCACTGTGGATAGATAAAATGATAAATAGGAATTGTTGTTTTAGATTCTAAGTGTCCGACCACCCGCCAACATGGTGTCCATGATGGGCGGCATCCCCCCTCTGACCCTCCAGGACGTACTGGACAGTGCTGGACGCCAGATCGACAAACATCTACAGGAAGACAAAAATTACCTCGACCTGTCTGAACTGCTGAGAATTCCCTCACATAGTAAGTGAAACTATTCAGGCCAAAAGGAAAATATGAATTATCTTCAGCAACAGCTGGATGGTAGGTGGTTGTAATCTATTAGTTGCTGCCTTCTTTTCATCAAGATTGATAGCATCTTTTTCAACTTCCGAATCCCCAGGTAGTAAGCTTGTCTGTATATTCATCTTAAGCATGTGGAAATTAACCATGAATGTTTACTGGCCTGAAGAGTGATATAACATATATCATGATACATAGCAGAACCCCCCAAAATGTTTGAAATTCTTTCACAAAAGTGTCACCATCCCATCTCCAAAGTTACCAGCCCGCATTCAGACATTATGAATATTAAAAGATTGCAAAAATGAGAGACAAATCACGTCATGATTCAGTTGAAGAAATGCAGACAATTTCTTGAGAATCTGCGAGGAGTTATAATAAAACTGAGTTCATAAGTAGTCTTAAACTTATCTGCCAGACAGTTGGGCAGCTAGAGATAAATAACTTGCAGCCCGACAGAAAACTTGTCACCAGCCATGGGCAGGCTGAAAGACGGTTATTTCGAACACTGCTTGGAATACCTTTAACACTAACAAAATTGGTCCGGGCTAGTGATAAATACCATCACTGTTTAAATATTTGCACAGATTACCTTTGCTGCAGAACATTTATCACTTGCAAAACAAAATCATTATAATAATAATAATAATAATAATATATCATTGGCAAAACATAATAACAATGACAACAATAATAATAATCATCATCACAGGGTATTTTCTTTTTATAAAGATATGAGTGTGTTTTGAAGTCCCAGAGAGTCCTATATGAGCGTTGTGCATGTTGAGACCAACAGTTCTGACCTATCCACATTCCAGGTCAGCCAACCCAGAGTGGACTGATGGACATTGACTACCCGAGCCTGCTGGAGGCGGGCATGGGGCTGGAGGGGCTGACCGAGATGACCAGCATCAAGAGGGTGCCTCTACCCCCGGAGCTTGTCGAACAGTTTGGACGTATCCTTTCAAGAGCAGCACTGCTGAACAAACTAAAGAAAATGCTGTATGCACCTCTTTTGTGGACTCAGGGCTGTCGGGTAGCCTAGTGGTTAAAGCGTTCGCTCGTCACGCTGAAGACCTGGGTTCGATTCCCGACATGGGTACAATGAGTGAAGCCCAGTTCTGGTGTCCCTGCCATGATGTTGCTGGAATATTGCTAAAAACGGCGTAAAACCATACTCACTCACTCACTCACACTTTTGTGGACTCTAGTTGTTACATGTCAGGAATTGACCTAGATGTTCAGCCACAAGTTGGCAGCAAATGTCAGTAAAAACTCCCAGGTTGGAATGAAACATTTCCCAGTTCATGCTGTTATAGTTACATCTAATTTGATGTCTTTGTGGAGGCGACTTGTATTTAAATGATAACAGGACCATTATAGAGAAAGAGGCTTTAATGCTTACTTTAACATTATTGCATTGGATGCTGTGTTAAAATTCAATGGAAAATAAATATGGATTTCGGACAAAATAACGGTTGGTGTGGATGGAGTGTGTGTTCCCAATTTGCCTGTCCAGGGCACTTAGTTTGGAATCCTAGCTAAATTCCTGCATGTGCACAGGAAGAATCCATTTCCATTGAACAGGGGTCTGCAGTGGAGTGTGACGCAGTTCACATGAAGTTCATTTATTCATCGATACCCCACATCAGTGGGACACATGCACTTTGCTGTTCACATTTATGAATTGATTGTGAAGGTTTATATGGATTTGACTCATAATTTTTTAAAGTTAGCCTATCTCACCCTATGCATTTCTCTTTCTGAACAAACATGTGGGTCTGATGGAAAAAAACTCATCTGCAGATAAGACATGATACAAAAATCGACCGAAAAAGTCTTGTAAACTCCAAAGGAAATATGGAATGAAGAAAGAATTTATTTCCTTGTGTTCAGCTGCACATCACCACCTCCATGGTCCAGTAGTAGAGTGTCCGCCCGTGGAATGGAAAGTCCGGGGTTCGATTCCCTGCCGTGTCATACCAAAAGACGTTAAAAGATAGTACTTGTTGTTACCCTGCCTGGTGCTCGGCATTAAGGGGCTAAAGCAAAGACTGGTCGGTTGGAGTCAGTATACAGTGTCTGAGTGGGGTATTCATGTTAACTTCTGCATGGTATCTCAGTGGGCTAGCACTATAAATTGGCATCAGTGTTGACTAGTGCAAGCAGACACACACACACATACATGCATGTCGTTATATAAGTGCAAATATCTCGGATGTGACGTCAAACCCCATTTCACCTCACCTCACCAGATGCACCAGATGCACATCACCTCAACATGGCAATTAGAAATTGGCTCGTTCCACTTAGGATCAAAAGAAGAAAGAGAAACAATAGTGTGACATAGGATAAGTATGACATACAAGTTATTATAAAATTGTCTTTATTTGTTTGTTCAATTATCAAAGTAAGTAATAGAAGTGTTGAACTCTAAATTAGGAAAATGGTCAGGTGATTCATTCTCAAACATTTCCAGTATTTCTTAACCATGTAACACAGGCATGCAGTGCAACTGTATGATGGGCTTGTTCCCGGACATTGAGAGGGCGTGGCTAACCATTGACAGTGACATCTTTGTTTGGAAGTATGAGGATGGGTAAGTCATCTGAGTATAGACTGCTAAATTAGGTATAGACGTCATATTGATGTATTTGTGTTTGAATCCCGGGTTGACCCTATTATGTTTCTAGCTTTGTCAGCACCATATCCGTGCTCGTGGGTTTCACAAAAGCAGTAAGCATCTTAGAACTCCATCACTTCTGGCTTTCCTCCCTCATTAACCTGATACGCTGTGATATACAAGGTCCGTACAGGCTTGAATTTAATGGCCCCTCTTGAAAAGCCTTCATTTTTAGTGTCAACCTTAAAAAGGCTTGAAAATAATCACAATGACTTACCCTTGTTAATCAAAGTATGAAAACACAAACATTATAGGAATGTACCAAGGATGTTTAAGTGTGATTTATCACTGTGATAGATTTGACACTGCCAAAGACTTTGAAAAATTTATGACATACTTAATTGATTTTATTTGTTGGTTGTGAAGATCAATCTTGTTTGAAAATTTGTGATGTTCATACTGTATTCTTTTTAGGACTGGAGACTTTTATATAGTATGCTGGATTTAAATTCACTGAGGCTTATGACCCACCTGAAAAAGCCTTGAAAATGACAGTTGAAATGACAGCTGAAAGTCTTGAAAAGGTCCCGAATTTAGTGTTCCATTTCTGTATGAATCATGGATATAGCTGGAATACTGTTCAAAGCTGTAGTTAAAGGTGCATCTAGCTCAACAGAATGCACACAAACAACCTCCTTGATTTCATTGGATTGTTAGATTATGTGATACTGATTTTAGGTATGCCTCAGAAAAATTAGATACTCTGAATACTGACCATCCGGTTATGTATAACTGTGTTTGTTGTTTCCAGGACTGACCTTGCTTACTTCGATGGTTTGAATGACACCATCCAGTGTGCAGCTCTTGTAAAACCCAAACCAGGTACAATAGCAGGGGATCATGAGTGTATATGTACATGATCTACTTTTGACTTAATAATGTCACAGGTAGATGTGACTCGTGAAGATCCAAGTTAGAAATAAGTCTTCCGCAACCCATGCTTGCTCTAAAAGGCGACTATGCTTGTCATAAGAGGCGACTAACAGGATTGGGTGGTCAGGCTCGCTGACTTGGTTGTTGCATGTCATCATATCCCATTTGCGTGGACCGATGCTCATGATATCAATCACTGGATTGTCTGGTCCAGACTCGATTATTTACAGACCGCCGTCATATAGCTGGAATATTGCTGAGTGCGGCGTTAAACAACAAACCAACCAACCATATGAGGCGACTAACAGAATTGGGTGGTCAGGCTTGCTGACTTGGTTGATGCATGTCATCGTATCCCATTTGCGTGGATAGATGCTCATGATGTCAATCACTGGATTGTCTAGTCCAGGCTCGATTATTTTTCAGACCGCCGCCATATAGCTGTAATATTGCTGAGTATGGCGTTAAACAACAAGCAAACAAACAAAATAGATGTAACAATGTTGTTGTGCATATCGGTACTCTCCATGGCACAAGTGACACTGAGAAAAGTCTCCAGACCAGGGAGAATACTCCCCCTCAACATTTCAGAGTATTTTTTCTAGAAGTTACAATGGCGATGGCTAGGAAGCACATGAGTGACATGTTGACTGTGTCTGCAGGTATCTTCCAGCCTCACATCCAGTACCTGCTGTGTCTGGCAACAGCTGTGGACATCGTCCTGCTCGGCGTCAGCTTCGCCAGACCTTTTGAAGGTTGGTATAGTCTTTCAGTAGCAGATCTTCAGATCAACTTCGTATTTGCTTGAAATAGCATAAGAAATCACCATTACCAAATTAATTTTGAGTTATTTGGATACAAATCCACATGAGCATTTTAGAAAACAAAACAGTAGTATGGCAACATTGTTCATAATAACCCAAACTAGCTTTTTCAGCTTGCATAATGTATTTTTCACGGGTCCTTTTTTACATTAAACATGTTAATTGCATGCAGGCATCACATATATCATGGATGTACACTATACTGCAGTATTTTAAGTGAAATAGTTTTCAAGTTGTCACCTGAAACAGCATTGAACTTTCACGCTGTGATATAACTGGAATACTGTTCAGAGCAGCATTAAATGTACCTCACTCACTCACTCACACTCACTCACTCACTCACTCACTCACTCACTCACTCCAACTGCTTCAGAGATCATTTTGTTTTGTGGCTTAGATGTTCGCTTGTCTCTGATGGCACATAGAGACACAGATATTTGGATATGGCAAGAAGTAGCCATTTATCTTGTGTCAATGTATTTGAGTAGAAAGCAAATAGCCCTTCCAGATTTTCAAATATGTGTAGATTAACAGAGAGCGGTCATGTCCAACCCTGTTATTGTATGTACACAGTCCAATCGACACTCGAGCCTGCATAAACAATTTGATTGATTTGATTTGTCAATGATTTATCTAGATGTGCACAGAAGGTGATATTCAGCCCGAATTATGCTGCAAATGTCATTAAAAAAAATCCCGAGATTAATTAAGAAGTCCCAAGTTCATGTGTTTACATATACGTTTTACTGTATTGTTATAACTGTTAACAAATGGGATAGCCTTGTAGAGGAGACTTGTATTTCACTGATGACATGACCAATAGAGAAGATGAGGCTTTGATGTAGTTTTACATTGTTATTGATGTATTATTACAACAAATGTAATGTTAATAAACAATGTAAAACCATGTCAGAATTTAAGAAAATAAGAACTTATAAAAATCCAATCTTTAGACTTAATAAAATAAAAGAATTGGTTCTCAGGCAATGACTTTTGAAAATGTAGTGCGGGTGGGTGTTGTTGTTTTTGTGCTTGTTCAATCTAGTAAGTGACCAAATGAACAGTCATGTACCATCAACCTGGCAAATGACCTCCCTACTTAAACAGGCATACAAACTCCTATTTCCGCCATGACCACAACACGAGATGCGCAGTAAAGCAGTGCGCATGTAAAGGGAAGTAACTGCATGCTGTATTCGCATTGTTTTTAAGTATTATGATTATTTGGATCTTTTTCAAAAAAAAGTAAAAACGAAACGTGCAGCAGACTTTATGATGCAGTGCCTAAGAACCAAGGCTATTATTTTTTTTAACCTTAACAAAATAATGATTGTTTCCCAATTTGCTGGCAAGGACACTTAGCATGCTTAGTTTGGTCTCCTAGCTATCCCATCCCACACTGCTTCACCTCTGTCCCCAGGGAGCAGCCATGATGCAGGTGTCGGGGAGATGCACCTCCTACCTGACCCCCTCTTTTCCATCCCCACCGACAACACTGGCATCTTCAACATTGCGGGGGCTGACAACGGACGGATCTTCATGGCAGGGAAGGATGGTTGCCTCTACGAGCTAGCCTACCAGGTAATGTTTCATTGGATTTAAGATGCATGGTACTTTGCATGGCTATAATTGAATGTTCTTTACAGATATTTATACATTGCTTGTGCAAATTTGTTGTGTCCACTCTAAACTTTAATGAGTATGAGATCAGGATTTCGCATCTGGTAAAAAGCCTGCCTTTTGCATTCAATATTGCTTGCTGACATCACAGAATGTGGCCTGTAGAATCCTTAATGATTGCTCAAAACTGTTGTATATAGTTGATTGCAATGCTTGGAGAGATGTCACACTAAGTGCAGAATACTTTGGTCAAGTTAGGATGAGTAAGTATGAGTTAGGATGAGAACGTATGAGTTAGGATGAGAACGTATGAGTTAGGATGAGTAAGTATGAGTTGGGATGTGTAAGTACGAGTTAGGATGTGTAAGTATGAGTTAGGATATGTAAGTATGAGTTAGGATGTGTAAGTATGAGTTAGGATGTGTAAGTATGAGTTAGAATGTGTAAGTACGAGTTAGGATGTGTAAGTATGAGTTAGGATATGTAAGTATGAGTTAGGATTAGTAAGTATGAGTTAGGATGAGTAAGTATCAGCATGAGTAAGTGTGAGTTAGGATGAGTGAGTTTGAGTAAGTATGAGTTAGGATGTGTATGTATCAGTATGAGTAAATATGAGTTAGGATGAGTTAGGATGAGTAAGGATGAGTGAGTATTAGTTAGCAGCACTAAGTGTGAGTTAGCAGCACTAAGTGTGAGTTAGTAGCACTAAGTGTGAGTTAGTAGAAGTAAGAGTGAGTTAGTTGCAGTAAGTATAAGACAACATCTTTATTTCAGGCTGAAGACGGCTGGTTCAGTCGCAAGTGCCGCAAGATCAACCACTCCACCAGCAAGCTGTCTTTCCTTGTACCCTCCATATTTAACTTCAGTGAGGATGGTAAGTGTGAAATGTGGCAAGATAGATGTTCATTATTTGCATCATTGTCTGATACAAAAATCATTTCACATTATGTAAAAATACTAAAGTGTATAGTAACTTACTCAGCCATCATGATATAGGATATCCTATATGCATAGAGTCGTATAGGGATATTTCATTACTTCTAGATCCATTGGAACAAATCTGTATTGACAACTCCAGGAACATCCTGTATGCACGCTCGGAGAAGGGTACGATTCAGGTAAGGGATGACTCATCATGTTGACAATTAAACTCAATGCAACCATATTGCATTGAAAGCATTCATTATTGCATTGAAAAAGTTTTCTGAGCTGAAAATACATTGAAAAAGTCTTACTGAAATCGTCTGAAGCAGTTACATTTGTTTCTGTCAGGTGTTTGATCTCGGTGAAGATGGAAGGGGGATGGGGAAGGTGGCGGCGCTGTCCCAGAACACAGTCATGATGCATGCCGCCGCCGTGGCCAGGTAATATCCGTGGGACACCTAGTTTCATGTCTTCTAGGAAATATTTTTTGAGATGAAGATGATTTCCTAAGTACTGATGCATTACAAGCAACTCATTCAGGTCCCCTTTTAATATAGCAGTGAACACAGCAGTGAACTGTATGAGCTGACATATCACCTGCGGCAATGTGCTTCAAGAAATGAGATTAAGGCTTAAAAAAATAATATTCTTGGTTCTCAGGCACTCCCCGCATCATCATTAAGTCCGCCGCACATTTAGTTTTATTTTCATTTAGAAAAAATATAAGAATCCTAATACTTAAAAACAATGCGATCCAATATAGCACACAGTTACTCCCGTCCACATGTGCACTGCTTCTCGTGTTATCGTCATGGCGACAATAGGAGTTTGTGTGCCTGTTTATGTAGGGATGTCCCAGGTTGATGGTACACAACTACAGTGATCGCTCGCTATTGCGCTACCAATGGGGTCCAAATAATTGGTGGGCGTTATAGACGATGAGCCGTTTAACCGAGGCCGAGGCGGGGGAGCGCGCTCGGGAAATCTCAAATCATCAATAGGCCTATGTGTTTATCTCACGTCACGTCAAAATAGTATATATTTTTATGGACCTAGATCTACCTGTAATATCATTCATTTATTAAATCTGTCATATTTCACAATGTCTGAAATACGTATTCCATCCTAATTTATCATTTTTTATCAATAAATTAAAAAATTATTCACTATTTCCCGCGATGTTATTGAAAATAAAATTCTCGGACACACATTTCGACAACGGGTCCGCATCGAACATGTCAAAGAGCAAAATAAAGACTATTTTAAGCAAATCTTTAAATATATTATACAAAGTGATAAATAAAATCAACTAAAAGTAATCAAACTTACATCTAAGTTATTATTTCCATTGTTTCGTGCGATCGCGTGTAATGTAAGTCAAATGATATCTCGGCTTTCGTCGCCTTGAATTCTCGGCTCGGACACAACGATTAATGCAAAAATATATGCATGAAAAATCTTTGTCACAGCTCGTAACCTAGCACGATACATTCGCGAAGTTCCATATTTTTAATATATATCGTGATTTCCTGCTTAAAACGTTCAGAATAACACGATTTAACCAAAAATCTATCGCTAACTTCTGAAATTTATCAAACACGAGCTTGGTATCACAGCTTGATTGGCTGCCTGAGGTCACGTGCTCAAAATTGACCAATCACGAAACTTGTAGCAGATTTCGGCAAGAAAGCGTCATTAGAAACAAATTTTAATCCAATGAAATCGCTTGTTATAACTACGGGGAAAAACAGGCGATGTTACGAAAGCGTGATTACGAAATGAATGACCGCCGTGTTATGACAGCAACTACATGTGTGTGACAGTTTAGCCTTAAATTGGATTGCCCACTAATTAAGAATATAAACTTCGCTTGTGGTTCTCTTTTATTGCATGCATGCGCTTCTAAGATCAAAGGATGTATAGTGTGAAAAGTTAACTAGTGGAACAATCGTATTTCCGGGACTTGCCGCGGATGTTTTCAAACAGATTATTAGAACTCCATTCAGCGATAAACGGTTGATTATGCAATGAGAAGCGTTATGTGCAAATGAACAACGAACAACAATACAATTATGTCTGTGTAAAACTCTCAGTAATAAAAGTGTACATAAATTTTGGGAGCCATGCGTTACCGCGCGTAATAACCGAAGTAGCGCTTTATCGAAGAGCGCAATAGCGAGCGATCACTGTATTTATTTGGTTACATACTAGTTTGAACAAGCAAAACAAAAACAAAAACCTGCCCGCACTACATTTTCAAAAGTCATTGCCTGAGAACGCCCCGTGAAATCCGGGGTAGAATAGGTCTTCATCAACCCATGCTTGCCGTAAAAGGTGACTAACGGAATCAGGTGGTCAGGCTCGCTGACTTTGGTGAAGCATGTCATGATATCAATCACCGGATTGTGTGGCCCAGACTAAATTATTTACAGAATGCGGTCATATAGCTGGAATATTGCTGAGTGAGGCGTAAAACAACAAACCAACAAACAACATTGCCGAAAACCAACTGTTTTCCTTTTTAAGCCTAATGCGGATGTATTGTTGTTGTTGTTCAGAACTGTGGAGAGGTCCAACTTCAAGCAGATAGTTCACCTGGCGGTCGTCACCAAGTCGGAGTCCTACAACATCCACCTCGTTGCAGTCACTCAGTCAGGTAGCCAGCAGCAGGGACTCATGTGATAACAAACAGACAGTTAACTGACAGTGGAGGAGCTGAGTGGTTATAGCGTTCACCCTCCACGCTGAAGGCCCGGGTTTGATTCCCCACATGCATTCAAAGTGTCATGCCCATTTCTGGTGTCCCCTGTCGTGATATTGCGGGAATATTACTAATGTCGCATAAAACCAGACTCACTCACTTTATTGACTGAATGATTTTCTATGTCCTTCACTGGATACAGGGTAGGATTAGGTAGTTAATACCTCCATGTTTGTCAGAATACAGGGTAGGACTAGGTGGTTAATACCTCCATGTTTGTCAGAATATAGGGTAGGACTAGGTGGTTAATACCTCCATGTTTGTCAGAATACAGGGTAGGACTAGGTGGTTAATACATTCCATGTTTGTCAGAATATAGGGTAGGATTAGGTAGTTAATACCTCCATGTTTGTCAGAATACAGGGTAGGACTAGGTGGTTAATACATTCCATGTTTGTCAGAATATAGGGTAGGATTAGGTAGTTAATACCTCCATGTTTGTCAGAATACAGGGTAGGACTAGGTGGTTAATACCTCCATGTTTGTCAGAATATAGGGTAGGACTAGGTGGTTAATACCTCCATGTTTGTCAGAATATAGGGTAGGACTAGGTGGTTAATACCTCCATGTTTGTCAGAATATAGGGTAGGACTAGGTGGTTAATACCTCCATGTTTGTCAGAATACAGGGTAGGACTAGGTGGTTAATACCTCCATGTTTGTCAGAATACAGGGTAGGACTAGGTGGTTAATACCTCCATGTTTGTCAGAATACAGGGTAGGACTAGGTGGTTAATACCTCCATGTTTGTCAGAATATAGGGTAGGACTAGGTGGTTAATACCTCCATGTTTGTCAGAATACAGGGTAGGACTAGGTGGTTAATACCTCCATGTTTGTCAGAATACAGGGTAGGACTAGGTGGTTAATACCTCCATGTTTGCCAGAATATAGGGTAGGACTAGGTGGTTAATACCTCCATGTTTGTCAGAATACAGGGTAGGACTAGGTGGTTAATACCTCCATGTTTGTCAGAGCCAATTAAAATGGGGATTGGTTGGTTACAATGTCTTCATACTCTGGCAAAACTGGTTGTTGTTTTTCAACTGCTGAGTTGATTTGCTTGGAGTTGCATTTTGCTGATATACAGCTGTGCTATGGTGCATTAAATTGGAAAACATTTAATCATTTATCCTCCTTTTAAACATATTAGTACTAAGTCTTGATTTTCATGGGTTGTGAGTATTCAATGCATATGTTTCTTGCAAAAAGAATTATGTGAAAACGAGACCGACATTTGACCACTGTCTGAGCACTACGTCAAATGACATAAATACAGCCTGTGATAGTACTTAATTTGTAACCCGTGAAGATCCGGGGTAGAATAGGTCTTCAGTAACCCATGCTTGTCGTAAAAGGCAACCAATGGGATCGGGTGGTCAGGCTTGTTGACTTGGTTGATGTATGTCATTGTATCCCAATTAAGTTGATGCTCATGATGTCAATCACTGGATTGTCTGGTCCAGAAATGATTATTTACAGACCGTCATATAGCTGGAATATTGCTGAGTACAGCTTTAAACAACAAACAAAACAAACAAAACAACTTAATTTGTGACATTCTCTGACTTTAGCCCCCTCGTCTGAGGCCTGAATCTAGTGAAGTAACAGGCTATCTATATGTGTTCTTCCAGGTGTGCGTCTGTATTTCACAACCAATCAGTTTGGGTCCAGCAAAGGTCGGCCGAGCCTCCTGACCCTGGTGCATGTGCGCCTGCCCCCCGGGTTCTCCGCCTCCTCTACTACACAGAGACCCAGCAACATCCACATGGCCTACCATCACAGAGGTACACACCGGTCATCTTCTTACATTTTTACAAATGGAGCCACTCCAGAATATGTTGCCAACAAAATCCAAGCTTATGTTGACATCATGTTGTATCACGATTGAAATATTTTGACTTGAAAGTTAATCTTTATTATGTCTTTTCTACTTTAGCCTAATATGAAAATATTTATGGGAGAGTTTCTGATGATGCCTTCCAATGATGCCTTCTTGCCGTAAAAGGCGACTATGCTTGTCGTAAGAGGCGACTAACGGGATCGGGTGGTCGGGCTCACTGACTTGGTTGATGCATGTCATCGATCCCAATTGCGTGGATCGATGCTCATGATATTAATCACTGGATTGACTGGTCAAGACTCGATTATTTACAGACCGCGTCACATAGCTGGAATATTGCTGAGTGCGGCGTTAAACAACCAACCAACCAACCAACTAATCATGCCTTCTGTGTGGCTGTTGTGGCTGGCAACGTTTGTTATCCATGTAATTGGACGTTTTTTGGAGTCTAATTTCTGAAAAGTAAACTTACTGATTGACAAGTGTATATGACTTTGACAAGGTACTTGGAAATAGAGTAATTCTTATGACGTCAGTACAATTTTCAGGTCAGAATTCTACCAGCATACAGTGATTGGCAGCTTGTGTCGTTGTACATACTCTTAAACACTGGTATGCCTGGTCCAGACTTGATTCTTAAGTGTGGCATGAAACAACATTCACTCACTCCTGATGTTAGTGGTCTGTGAATCATGCCTCCTTTAGTAAGTACTGACCACTGTTCTGTCTGTGTCCAGACACCCTGATGTTAGTGGTCTGTGAATCACGCCTCCTTTAGTAAGTACTGACCACTGTTCTGTGTGTGTCCAGACACCCTGATGTAAGTGGTCTGTGAATCATGCCTCCTTTAGTAAGTACTGACCACTGTTCTGTGTGTGTCCAGACACCCTGATGTAAGTGGTCTGTGAATCATGCCTCCTTTAGTAAGTACTGACCACTGTTCTGCCTGTGTCCAGACACCCTGATGTAAGTGGTCTGTGAATCACGCCTCCTTTAGTAAGTACTGACCACTGTTCTGCCTGTGTCCAGACACCCTGATGTAAGTGGTCTGTGAATCACGCCTCCTTTAGTAAGTACTGACCACTGTTCTGTCTGTGTCCAGACACCCTGATGTAAGTGGTCTGTGAATCATGCCTCCTTTAGTAAGTACTGACCACTGTTCTGTGTGTGTCCAGACACCCTGATGTAAGTGGTCTGTGAATCATGCCTCCTTTAGTAAGTACTGACCACTGTTCTGCCTGTGTCCAGACACCCTGATGTAAGTGGTCTGTGAATCACGCCTCCTTTAGTAAGTACTGACCACTGTTCTGTGTGTGTCCTGACACCCTGATGTAAGTGGTCTGTGAATCATGCCTCCTTTAGTAAGTACTGACCACTGTTCTGCCTGTGTCCAGACACCCTGATGTAAGTGGTCTGTGAATCATGCCTCCTTTAGTAAGTACTGACCACTGTTCTGTCTGTGTCCAGACACCCTGATGTTAGTTGTCTGTGAATCATGCCTCCTTTAGTAAGTACTGACCACTGTTCTGTGTGTGTCCAGACACCCTGATGTAAGTGGTCTGTGAATCATGCCTCCTTTAGTAAGTACTGACCACTGTTCTGTCTGTGTCCAGACACCCTGATGTTAGTTGTCTGTGAATCATGCCTCCTTTAGTAAGTACTGACCACTGTTCTGTGTGTGTCCTGACACCCTGATGTAAGTGGTCTGTGAATCATGCCTCCTTTAGTAAGTACTGACCACTGTTCTGTCTGTGTCCAGACACCCTGATGTTAGTGGTCTGTGAATCATGCCTCCTTTAGTAAGTACTGACCACTGTTCTGTCTGTGTCCAGACACCCTGATGTAAGTGGTCTGTGAATCATGCCTCCTTTAGTAAGTACTGACCACTGTTCTGCCTGTGTCCAGACACCCTGATGTAAGTGGTCTGTGAATCATGCCTCCTTTAGTAAGTACTGACCACTGTTCTGTGTGTGTCCAGACACCCTGATGTTAGTGGTCTGTGAATCATGCCTCCTTTAGTAAGTACTGACCACTGTTCTGTCTGTGTCCAGACACCCTGATGTTAGTGGTCTGTGAATCATGCCTCCTTTAGTAAGTACTGACCACTGTTCTGTCTGTGTCCAGACACCCTGATGTTAGTGGTCTGTGAATCATGCCTCCTTTAGTAAGTACTGACCACTGTTCTGCCTGTGTCCAGACACCCTGATGTAAGTGGTCTGTGAATCATGCCTCCTTTAGTAAGTACTGACCACTGTTCTGTGTGTGTCCAGACACCCTGATGTAAGTGGTCTGTGAATCATGCCTCCTTTAGTAAGTACTGACCACTGTTCTGTCTGTGTCCAGACACCCAGATGTTAGTTGTCTGTGAATCATGCCTCCTTTAGTAAGTACTGACCACTGTTCTGCCTGTGTCCAGACACCCTGATGTAAGTGGTCTGTGAATCATGCCTCCTTTAGTAAGTACTGACCACTGTTCTGTGTGTGTCCAGACACCCTGATGTTAGTTGTCTGTGAATCACGCCTCCTTTAGCAAGTACTGACCACTGTTCTGTCTGTGTCCAGACACCCAGATGTTAGTGGTCTGTGAATCATGCCTCCTTTAGCAAGTACTGACCACTGTTCTGTCTGTGTCCAGACACCCTGATGTTAGTGGTCTGTGAATCATGCCTCCTTTAGCAAGTACTGACCACTGTTCTGTGTGTGTCCAGACACCCTGATGTAAGTGGTCTGTGAATCATGCCTCCTTTAGTAAGTACTGACCACTGTTCTGCCTGTGTCCAGACACCCTGATGGTAGTGATCTGTGAATCATGCCTCCTTTAGTAAGTACTGACCACTGTTCTGTGTGTGTCCAGACACCCTGATGTAAGTGGTCTGTGAATCATGCCTCCTTTAGTAAGTACTGACCACTGTTCTGTCTGTGTCCAGACACCCTGATGTTAGTGGTCTGTGAATCATGCCTCCTTTAGTAAGTACTGACCACTGTTTTGTGTGTGTCCAGACACCCTGATGTTAGTGGCCCCGCAGAATGACGACAATGACATGTTGTGGGCCATCAGCAGCGATTCCTTCCCTTTCCAGAACCAACTCATGGAAACACAGGTAAGTCCACTGATTTCTCACTCCACTTTAAAGGCATTTGGATCAGATTACGGCTTAAGAAAATATAAGAATTGGTTCTCAGGCAATGTCTTTTGACAATATTGTTTGGGTGGGCTCTGTTTTCTTTTTGTTGTTGTTGGTGTTGTTCAAGCTTGTATGTAAGGCTTAAAAAAATAGAAGAATTGGTTCTAAGGCAATGACTACTGAAAATATAGTGCGGGCAGGCATTGTTTTTTTGTTGTTGCTTGTTCAAACTCGTATGTAATCAAACAGTTGTGTACCATCAACCTGGTAAAGAGCCTCCCTACATAAACAAGCATACAAACTCCTATTGCCGCCATGACCATAACAAGAGATGTGCAGTAAAGCAATGCGCATGTAATGGGAAGTAACTGTGTGCTTTATTTGATCGCATTCTTTTAAAATATCAGGATTTAAAATAAAAAAATTAAAATGGGAATAAAACAAAATGTGTGGAGGACTTTATGATGATGCGGGGAGTGCCTGAGAACCAAGACTATTACTTTTTTAAGCCTTAATGTCATTTCTTGAAGCACATTGCCACAGGTGATACGTCAGCTCATACAGTTCACTGCTATGTCCACTGCTATACTAAAAGGGAACCTGAATGAGTTGCTTGTAATGCATAAGTACTTAGGAAATCATCTTTGATATTTTTTTAGCCTATTAATATTTATGTTTTTAATGGATAGTGTGTCCATGGACTTGGTATCACGTTCTGATAAATGTGCAAAAGAGGTCATCTAGCAGGAACTTTTAGTGAGCTCTATGGATGCAATCCCGACTTGCGAACAAAGCCTATTGCATGACATTCCTAAATGTTAGAGAGCCAGGGTTTTACCTTGACTTTCAAAAGTACCGATCCTTGCAGGCAATATGAGGTTCCTGTGAAGTAATGAAATGGTGTTGTGTACTGTACGGTTTAATAATTACTTCAGAGCCTAGAATGAATCAGTGATCACATGGTCAGTGGTCATGATTGATGGATGAAATGAGATGTCCATAAGTGCTCTTGATGCGCTGTAAGTAAAATGAATATTATTGTGCGTCCTTCAGGATGCAGTATATTCTTTTTCTGCGTCCATAATAAAAGTTTGTGTGCACTGGATGGACATTTGTGCATTGCGTAAAACCCTGGATAGCAGGATTGTGATGTGTGAGTAGTAATGAAGACAGTCACAGCTTCCATCACTTCTGTATGTTAAGGATAAAGCACTCAGGGATGTTTCATGACTCCACGTGGTTACATTCTCAGCCAACCCTGAGGAAGAGATTTTTATCCTACTTTTATCCCACCATCTAAATGCAAGAAATACCAGAGAGAAAGAACACTATGATTCCTTGTAGTGAAACAATGGTTTAGCAGTATGAAAATAATTCAATGACAACGGATGAGAGGAAAGCCACATGCAGCATGCAGACAACTGAAGTCATGTGTAAAATTGACCATCCTTTCATCACCGGCCCTGAGTGTTTACATTTGGGACCAAACCAAAGGAAAGTGATTTATGTCTAAAAGCCCAAAGAAAATCCTAATCAACATTTATTAACAAGTTTATGTTTCCGACAGACTTTCCTTGCAGCTAAGGAAACGGGTGTAAAATATATCTTGCTGATGTGCATGAACTTGAAAAAGAGATTCTTAAAAAGCATTATAATTTATCAGCGCCTCTCTAGGCTGTCAGTTCTCTCACTAGGCTGCAGATACGAAGGTTACAGTTTTGATCCCTCTGAAATATAAGTAACATTTGTTACATGGATTTTGTTCAAATGTGCCATAAATCTTTTGGTCAGGGGGCTGCTAGAGAATATATAGTAAAGAGTCCTGCTAAAAACTGTAGGATGCCTTCAAAAGAGTTTTTTTTAATATATTACAGCTTCAAAAGACAAGGGGAAGACAACAACAACAATACAATAGGCCATTTATATTGTGCATATTTCCACACCACTGAGGGGCATGCTCAAGGCACTATTATTAGCCCGGTCCCTGGGTCAGTGTGCACCCAAGCATCGTTCTCAGCTCCCAGGGGAGTATACAACCCAAGCTGCCTGTTAGGCGCTAGAAGGTTAACAAGCACATTGCCATCTCATCCTACCGGGTCACTGGAGGTTTATTGAGTATAGGTCTAGTCAGTTGCAACCTTGTGTATGTTTAATACAGGAATGAATAACTATGTAGCTCTGTATGATTTCGACAGATGACATTGCCGGTTGACGGTAAGACCTGGGCTATGTGCGAGTCCACCATCCCCCACCTGCCCCTGCCTGCAGCCACAAGGTCGTTGTCATCTCGGCCAGACCCTCCGTCAGTCGTCACACAACACGTAAAGCCCCCACGCAGGTTCATTGTCCTCAGTGCACAGGTGAGATAACAGGATTCACACACAGGTGCAAATGTGAGGACACCACAGTGGCATGTTTGCCTCAGTGTTGAAAAAGCCTTAAAAGATATATATGCAATTACAAAGGAACTTATTTTATTAAATTTACAATATTCGTAATATTAAAAAAACCTAGCTTTTGTAGATAATTTCTCAGTTTTTTTGATAACAGAAAACACCCATTTCTTTTATATTGGAATTGTTGCTTTCTGTGAGAATCTAATGCTTGTAACCATGGTAACCATATTCATTCAACAGAAGCAAGGGCGGTCTGGTAGCCTAGTGGTTGAGGCGTTTTCTCGTCACACCAAAGATCCGGGTACGAATCCCCTCGGGCGGTCGGGTAGCCTAGAGGTTAAAGCGTTTGCTCGTCACGCCGAAGACCCAGGTTTGATTCCCGACATGGGTACAATGTGTGAAGCCCATTCTGGTGTCCCCTGCCATGATATTGCTGGAATATTGCTAAAAGCGGTGTAAAACCATACTCACTCACTCACTCAAATCCCCTCATGGGTACAATGTGTGAAGCCCATTTCTGATGTACCCTGCTGTGATATTGCTTGGATATTGCTAAAAGCAGCGAAAATCCATATTCACTCACTAATCAGAAGCAAGATTCAGAAATCAGCTGTGTTCCATTGTTACGACTTGGAGTCGCAGTTAGTGTAGGGAGAAGAACATGTTTACGGCTGAGTGCTGCTACTGATAGCCATGTTGTTGTGTTCCAGGGAAGTCACATCCTCCAGAAACTGCGGCCAATGGAACAGCTTCAGCAGCTGCTCATCGAGTGCCAGGGGCCAGATGCTGATGAGGTCAAGGGCTTCTTCCGGCTGCATCGGGTAGGTCCTGGGATACTACTCTATCTGTGGGGTTCAGGGAAGTATTCTTGGGTTAGTTCTCTTGGGATGGGTAATGAGCTGTAGTACTGTGGTGGGTCCACAGTAGTTGTCTTGGGATGGGTGAAGAGCTGTTGTACTGTGGTGGGTCCACAGTAGTTGTCTTGGGATGGGTGAAGAGCTGTTGTACTGTGGTGGGTCCACAGTAGTTCTCTTGGGATGGGTGAAGAGCTGTTGTACTGTGGTAGGTCCACAGTAGTTCTCTTGGGATGGGTAAAGAGCTGTTGTCCTGTGGTAGGTCAATGCTAGTTCTCTTGGGATGGGTGAAGAGCTGTTGTCCTATGGTGGGTTTCACGGTAGTTTTCTTGGGATGGGTGAAGAGCTGTTGTCCTGCGGTGGGTCCACAGTAGTTGTCTTGGGATGTGTGAAGAGTGGGTCCATGCTAGTTCTCCCAGGGTAGTTCCACAATTGTTCTTGTGTAGACCTGGGGGTAGATCTCCTGGGGTTAGATCTCCTGGGGTAAGGCCTCGGGGTAGACCTCCTGGGTTAACACTAACAGTGCAACAAACTTGAACGCAATTTTAAACCCCATTTCCCCTCACCTGGGGGTAAGACCTTGGGGTAAGACCTTGGGGTAAGACTGGTGTACTTTTGGTTGTTCTTCAGATTTTCACTCTTGGCTTTATAGACAATCATCATGTTGTTTTTTTTATTTCCTGTTTCAGTGTTTCTGAATATTCAATGTCCAGAAATTTTCCAGATGGATTTGATAGTCATCTTACTCTGACGACTTTGTGAGTCGCGGTTCACCATACCTATCACCGGATTACCTGGTCCAAACTATTTACAGGCCGCCATCATATGGCTGGAATATTGCCGAAACAAAACAGAAAAACTTTGCTTTTATTCAGGTTTGATTTGCTGTCCCGATATATTTACTCAGTGTGTTATTTGTAATATTGAGTTATCTCCCCTGTTTCAGATTGAGCTTGCCTGCGCCACCTGTCTGGCTATAGCGTGCTCTCGACCACTGGCAGACCAGCAGGTATAGCCTTCTACAGCCTTCTGGTAGCAAAACATTAACACTAGTGAATGTGGTATTGCCTGGTAACACAAAACCAGTGTCCATACATAGGTATATTCCTTCTATTGTCATCAGCAAAATCGTCATTGTATATGGTTTCTATAACGCTGGTGAACCAGTCAGATTAAAGAACTCTTAAATGCGGTTGTAAAATCACGAATAACACAAGTATTTCAAGCATAGGTCATCCAAGACACATGGACTGGTGTTTGTTCATTCAGTGTTATTTTTTCATTACAAAGTGTGTCCATCAGATCCTCAAGTCCTGGCCCGGCAAACCGATTAACGATTTCTTATTGCCTTACCCAGAATAATGGATTGTGTGCATTTCTTCACCTGTGTTTCTCAAATCCTGTTTTAATGATTGAACTGCTGTGTAGGTCGGGGACTGGGCGAGGATGGCGTTCTTCATGTACGGCGGGGAAGCTCAGTATAACTTCAGTGTCCCTTCCTTCGGAGGACACATGGCTGCAGCCAACATCGGACCAGCATCCTTCTCTTCTGGTAAATGTTCAAACTTTGTTATATTCGCATGTGCTCTTTATTGGATGATCTGACTCTGAGCATGCTGAGTGTTGAAAAATGGACGCCAGGCATGTTTTATTGTATGTGGTTTAAAAGGTTCTTTTTAGAGTATTACTTTCCTGGATTTACAAAAAATTAAAATGATATGTTTCTTTGTTTCTAGTGATTCTATCTTCAGTATTATTAACTATTTTATGTTAAAGGAAAATAGTTTTGATATCAAAAGGAATGTGTTTGTCACATGTTTACTGATTAATTTCAAGTCATCATAGTTTGAATGTATTTAAATGTCCTTAATGTACATTTAGTTCAAAATGATATCTAGCTATGTGTTTGCTTGCTTTTGTACTTAGATGCTAGATTTTGAAATGTTTGTCTTGCATGGGTACTTCACACACTTTGTATGTTTGTGAATATTTTACATTTATTGTAGACTTCTGACTATGAAGATCCGGGTAGAGAATAAGTCTTCAGCAACCCATGCTTGAGGCGACTGCTTGTCCTAAGAGGCGACCAATGGGATCGGGTGTTGAGACTCGCTGACTTGGTTGATGATGTCATTGTATCCGGATGGGATCAATGCTCATGATGTCAATCACTGGATTGTCTGCTCCAGACTCTATTATTTATAGACCGCTGTCATAGTGCTGGAATATTGCTGAGTGTGGCGTTAAATAACAAACAAACTACTGCACATTGTGTATAATTGTTTTGTCCTATGAGATCAATCAATGATTATAACTGATGTGTTGTCCTGAATTGAACATCAAATTACCTAGTAAGGATAAGAATTTGTGGATGAACTACCTCTTTATTACAATTGAGAGCGAATTTTTGGTGTAGGTTATCAAGCAAGTGATAAACAGAGTGTAGTTGACAAATATACATACAGGTAGGAGACAATGTTTATACAGTAGAGTCGATATCAGATGTAGTTATACTGGAGTGGAGAAGCCTGTTATGTACACACAAGGGTAGTGATGGCAATCATCAGTGAAGTCGGTGACATAAACAAAGGTTGAAGCCAGTAATATAAACAACAGCCAGTAATATAAACAACAGCCAGTAATATAAACAACAGCCAGTAATATAAACAACAGCCAGTAATATAAACAACAACCATTTTGATGTTTAAGTGAGATTTATCACAGTGATAGATTCTGTGCCAAAGACACGGAAGAATTCATGACAGATTTAATTCATTTTTTTGTTGGTTGAAAATTATATCTTGTTGGAAAATGTGAGATGGTCATACTGCTTTATAGATCTTTTGATGCCATCTTCCTGAGGTAAGGGAGTTAACTGACTATAAAAGTCCAGTTTCCACCCTTGCCGAATTTGCTAGGATGGAATTTCTGGGCTTGATTGCAGCGCCACCAGTGGCTATTACGAGTAATGTCCCTTCTACTGACCAATCAGATTCCATCTCTCTTATCATTTTCATTTTCTTCAAACAATATTGTGGCACCCAGTCAAGACAATCTGATCTATAATCAAGATCTATCTTGAAATAAAACAGGTCTTATCCGTCGAAATGCATAGAATCACTTGAGCACATTGATTAAAAACATGTAAAGATTTGGAAAATATCTGTCAATGCCCAGCTAACGGGTACACATTTTGCAAATCCTGCAGTCCACAGAAATCTGCACGTTCAAGTCTGCAAACCGGATGTATAATTCATTGTTCGGTTTTATTTTGATGCATTGACTCGTCCAGCCAAAATGAAACTCCGGAATTCCAGCCAAGTTTGGAAAGGGTGGAAACTGGACCTATAAAGTCAGTTAATTCCCTTGCCTCGGGAAGATGATATCCCTTAAAGATTTGAAGTTTCTTTCCGGCTTGCTATACTTCCCACATCAGTGAATCAAGGGAGGTAATACTAACACGCTGTGTCTGCGCTCACCTCCCCCGCTTTGTTCTCAGGTCCTATGGGGTCAGTGCCTGCCTCTCTCAGTAGCACTGTAATCTACAGTCCCACCTCCCATGGGACCAGTTTTGCTCCTTTTGCCACCCCTATGCCAGGTGAGACAGAGTTACCCCCCTTTAACACGGCTCTGACATTGATTCTATTACTAACTTTTACTAACTGTTTATTTTTAGTTGAAGGTTTGTAATTGTTTCTTTTTTAGGATTTCTTTTTATTTGAAGTAGGATTTTGTAGTGAAAACTTAATAATTAATATGTTTTATGTTGTTTTACAAGTTATAGTCAGTTGTGCACTGTATGATGTGTTTTTGTTTCTCGACTTGTGCTGAAACTGTACACTATCTTTAGTGCACTGTATTTTACTTTAAGCTGCATGGACGTATTCTGATTTTGATATAGCAAAGGAAAAACAAAAGCTGTTGTATTTTTAGATTCTTTTGTTGATTTCAAAAGCATCATCCTTATGTACAAATAATCCAGGGTGTGGTCGGGTAGCCTAGTGGTTAAAGCGTTCGCTTGTCACGCCGAAGACCGGGTTCTATTCCCGACATGGGTACAATGTGTGTAGCCCATTTCTGGTCTCCTCCGCTGTGATATTGCTGGAATATTTTGCTAAAAGCGGCGTAAAACCATACTCACTTCCTTACCCCCCATAAACTTAGACCGTACTAGTGTTTGCAATGGTGTTTGGTGTTTCAGTGATGCAGTTTGATGACAATCACTTGTGTCTCTGTGATGTGCTTCTCTCTATGTTCTGTTGGTGGTAGCTGCACTCTGTTCAAGCACTGTTGTCACTATTGTATCTGTATCACATGAATTGTCAGCCATCTTACACTGATGTTTTCTGTCACTACTGTTAACCTCTATTCCTATATTTGAACCAGGGATCAGAAGGTCAGGCTTGATGCATTTCATCGTATCCCAAATGGGTAGATTAATGCTTGTGATGTCAATCACTGGATTGTTTGGTCCAGACTTGATTATTTACAGACCACTGTCATCAAGCTGTAATATGGCTGAATGTGGTGTTAAACAAAAAACAACAACATTTGAACCGATTCAGGAGTTTGGAACTTGTACTGGGACAAGTAAACAGTAAAATATTAATTTGTGATTATTTGTGTCCAGATTAACTGAACATGGTGTTTTTATCACAAAATTGGTCTGTTACAGCCCACGATTTATTTCAGTTTTGGTATCAGTGACTTTTCCTACCACAAACAATGAATTCATCCTTTGCTAGGTCTTACCCATATGAAAACCATATGTTTTTGAGTGGCCAATGCAAACGGGCATGACAAGTAATTCTTTCGATATGCGGTGCAGTTGGCTATATGGTGATGAAACAATCAAAGAGCCTGTCATAAAGCATGATCGACATCATAACCAGGAACAAAACAATACACTGCTGTCTGCTGGATTGGTCATACTTGTGATGGTCACACTTTTTGGAGCTATATTTAGTACTTTTTACGAATAGTTTGTCAAAATTGTCAAAAGGTCTGCTAAATGTTTAGGCCGTCAACAAACAACTGAAGCTGATACTTGTAGTTTTGTTTTTCCGGTGATCTCACGTAGACAGTTGGGCAAGTTGGGCATTGATTTCCACACCCTTGTGATTATGTCTGCCTGCAGCATTAGCAGGACACATGTGACCTGGGCCCACTTGCACAAAGCGATCTTAGTGCTAAGACTATCGTAAGCCTGTGTTAAAGTGTGGGAGTTACGATCATCTTAGCGCTAAGATCCCTTTGTGCAAGTGGGCCCTGGTCGTATTAGGTGCTGCAATTCACTGTGTGAATAGAGCTCATCTGACCTGATCATTAACTACCAAAGACTGACTTTAACCTGCGTCACTGTGGACTATGCTTGTCGTAAAAGGCGACTAACAGGGTCGGGTGGTCAGGCTCGCTGACTTGGTTGATGCATGTCATCGTATCCCAATTGCTTGGATTGATGCTCATGATGTCAATCACTGGATAGTCTGGTCCAGACTCGATTATTTACAGACCGCCGTCACATAGCTGGATTATTGCTGAGTGCGGCGTTAAACAACAAACCCAACAAACAATCTTTCTACCCATAATGAAGTCACTATGGGCCAAAATAATGCTGATGCGATGTTAAAGTTAAGTTTTAACTCACTTTCTCCTATGTTAAGCTGACATGACTTTTTATTGCTGTGTGTTGTTCAAAGCAATTTTAAACACCCAACTGACTCCCATGATTTGAAGGATTCGAAAGAGTGTTACTAGTCTGTACTGTCAGACTTATACCTAAGTGTGCTTTAGTGTAGGTCTACCTCCTGATGTAGATGATTAACTCCGATATGATCGAATAAGCTTGAAAACCTCATGATATTTCTGTGTTGATCAATAGTCATAGGCCAAAGATTAGGAATACTCATGCAGAATTTTTCCGTAAAAGAGATATGATGACATTTGACCATACATGGTTGTGAGCTGATCTATCTGAGGGTGTACACAGGTATGCAGCCTGCCCACATGTCGACACCAGCTCCACACAGCTTCCAGCAGCCCTTCTACCAACCAGGACTTACCTCCCTTGGCAGCCACTCCCAGGAAGTCATATACTCCGGCAAACATAATGGCATCTGTATTTACCTCAGCAGAATCCTCAGGTACAGTGTTGTTTGAACCTTGTCTCAGCCCTGCGGGGTCTGCAGCAGATTAGGTCCCCAGTACTGGTTACTATAAGGGTCTTCCATAAACTGCCAGACGAAGGAGACCAAGGTCTTCTGCAAATGGTAATGCCCTGAAAAATAGCGTTACCTTTAGTATACCTAAAATGGCTAGAATATATCGAATAAACAACAACATCGATTTTTGAAACATTTATTGCAATCAGCATACAACGAATGTCACTGACCCACTTTTACAAATATGGAAATATCGTAGAACAAACCAGACAACGTCACTATTGAACATCAATAAGACGTCACCTAACCTTGGGAGTGATAATGGCCCGTCATCAAGCAATTATGGGGATTATAGTGGCCCGGTCATTTCAGATAACATGCGGACGGTTTAATAATTCTATCAATTTTAGCTATAATTAGTTTTAAGAGGGGCAGTGGGTTAGCCTTGTGGTTAAGGTGTTCGCTCACCACGTTGAAGGTCCAGGCTCAGGTAGAATGTGTGAATGCCATGATATTGATGGAATATTCCTAAGAGGGGCGTGAAAACCCCCCAACCCACTTGGATAAATAACCCAGATGAAGCCTGGTGTTGCCCGCCATGATGTTGAATATGATAGCTAGGGCTCACAGCAGAGTAAACCTTACTCTCTCGTAATTAGAACTGGCTAATATGTGTGTGGATGGTGAGAACGTGCGATTCACCCACTCCTCACCATACTGCAGCTTCAAGCTGATGCCGACTGTTTTTGGCGTTTCCCTTCATGGGGCCATTGAACATTTGAAAAAAAGGCCAAGACAGTTCTTTAAAAATATTTTGATTTGCGTGTGTTGTGATATGTTTATTTAGCAAGGTTCAACTTGCCAACTATTATTTCAGAAAGGTTGGGATCCCACATGCATAAGGTGTGAGATTGTGGGTTAGAATTTGTCCCTAACTACCTATACTGGGTGAAATGGGCAATGTAATAGTGGTTAGGCTTGATGACTTGCTTATGTAAACAGCGGGTGTCGCTCACAAAATCAATCAACCTGTGAAGATCCGAGTTAGAGTAGGTCTTCACAACCCATGCTTGCTGTAACAGGCAATAATGCTCTTCGTAAGAAGCGACTGAAGAGATCGGGTGGTCAGGCTCATTGATTTGGTTGATGCATGTCATTGTATCGATCGATGCTCATGGTATCAATCACTGGCTTATGTGATCCAGATTTGATTATTTCAGACAGCCATCATTATTTTACAAAATAAGAACACACGCACACTATTATGTTTGAAGTCCATTCTTGGCATCTTCTTGTAATATGGATGGAGTATTTTATTAATTGGTGTGAGACCTTATTCATAAAGTTGGGATTGTCAGATTGGTAAATTACATTTAATCTGTAGACTGTGTAGAAGATGGATGTTGAGAATGATGATGTACACTGTTGCAGGCCCTTCTGGGATTCCCAAGTGACGACGGAGTTCCCCTGTCAGACACCTCAAGGGATGGTCACCTACGTGAGTTGTCATGTTTACATGGATATCTTCCTACTTCATGGACATGTGCAAAGATAACCATCATAACCTTCCCTTGTAATGTTGTCTCAGATAACACTGTGTACTGTATTCGCTGTAATAAGCCGTGTTAAGCTTATGAAAATGATGATGCGGTGGGCTTATTAAAGCCATTCAGAAAGTGTTTGTTGACATAATATTTCAGTCTTAAAATTGCAGCAGCAATATGTTCCCTTTGTTGCCCAAATAGTACAACACAACTGTCTGATTTTTCAACATTATGATCTGCAGCACCTTCTGTAACATATATAGATATGAGCCAGGAACATGCAGCCTGTAACATATGTAGATATGAGCCAGGAACATGCAGCCTGTAACATATGTAGATATGACACAGGCACATGCAGCCTGTAACATATGTAGATATGACCCAGGAACATGCAGCCTGTAACATATGTAGATATGACCCAGGAACATGCAGCCTGTAACATATGTAGATATGACACAGGAACATGCAGCCTGTAACATATGTAGATATGACACAGGAACATGCAGCCTGTAACATATGTAGATATGACACAGGAACATGCAGCCTGTAACATATGTAGATATGACACAGGAACATGCAGCCTGTAACATATGTATATATGACCCAGGAACATGCAGCCTGTAACATATGTAGATATGACACAGGAACATGCAGCCTGTAACATATGTAGATATGACCCAGGAACATGCAGCCTGTAACATATGTAGATATGACCGAGGAACATGCAGCCTGTAACATATGTAGATATGACCCAGGAACATGCAGCCTGTAACATATGTAGATATGACACAGGAACATGCAGCCTGTAACATATGTAGATATGACACAGGAACATGCAGCCTGTAACAAATGTAGATATGACCCAGGAACATGCAGCCTGTAACATATGTAGATATGACCCAGGAACATGCAGCCTGTAACATATGTAGATATGACACAGGAACATGCAGCCTGTAACATATATAGATATGACCCTGGAACATGCAGCCTGTAACATATATAGATATGACCCAGGAACATGCAGCCTGTAACATATGTAGATATGACCCAGGAACATGCAGCCTGTAACATATGTAGGTATGACCCAGGAACATGCAGCCTGTAACATATGTAGAGATGACACAGGAACATGCAGCCTGTAACATATGTAGATATGACCGAGGAACATGCAGCCTGTAACATATGTAGATATGACACAGGAACATGCAGCCTGTAACATATGTAGATATGACCCAGGAACATGCAGCCTGTAACATATGTAGATATGACCGAGGAACATGCAGCCTGTAACATATGTAGATATGACACAGGAACATGCAGCCTGTAACATATGTAGATATGACACAGGAACATGCAGCCTGTCATGTAAACTCATCGTCTATGTTGTGAACGCAGTTGACCAGCAGCTACAGCAGCGACAACATCACCACCACTCTGGAGCTTGTGCGGGACCTCCTCGACTTCATGGACTTCAACTCCAGGTTCGACTCCGGCGGCCCGATAGATAGGTAGGTGGTCAAAAAGTTAGGAAGGGGGTCCAGTAGATAGGCAGGCGGTCAGGTAAATAAGCAAGGGATTTGGTAGATACCATATTTTCTTGAGTATAGTGCGCACCCAAGTTTAATGACGCAGCCCCCTCTACCGGATTTGGTATTTTGAAAGAATATTTTGATGCTGTTGACTGGCATGAGGCAGGACTCACTCATGCTATCAATCACTGGTTTGATGGACCAGACTTGATGACACACAAACTGTTTGATACTGTTGACTGGCATGAGGCAGGACTCACTCATGCTATCAATCACTGGTTTGATGGACCAGACTTGATGACACACAAACTGTTTGATACTGTTGACTGGCATGAGGCAGGACTCACTCATGCTATCAATCACTGGTTTGATGGACCAGACTTGATGACACACAAACTGTTTGATACTGTTGACTGGCATGAGGCAGCACTCACTCATGCTATCAATCACTGGTTTGATGGACCAGACTTGATGACACACAAACTGTTTGATACTGTTGACTGGCATGAGGCAGGACTCACTCATGCTATCAATCACTGGTTTGATGGACCAGACTTGATGACACACACACTGCCTGATACTGTTGACTGGCATGAGGCAGCACCCACTCAGTACAGCGGTGTGACATCGTGTGATGTTTGTTTGCAGCATGATGCCGATGATGCAGTTTCAGTCTCGTATGGTGGGGCCACTGGATGAGCAGACAAAGAAGAAACTGCAAGGTAATATACTGACGTGTTGTGACTGACACATTAATTGGCCAGTTTATCTATCCCATGACATTTACTGCAGAGTTTGGCCCCCAGCAATGACAGGATCCAATGTTGCTGACAACATCGTTTATTCACTGTATGTAATGCTTCAAGGGAAATTTAGGTCATGGGTCGAACCCTGAAGATCCAGGATTGAATAGGTCTTCAGCAACCCATGCTTGCCGTAAAAGGTGACTGCTTGTCATGAGAGGCGACTAACATGATCGGGTGGTCCGCCTCGCTGACTTGGTTGATGCATATCATCGATCTCAATTGCATGGATAGATGCTCATGATGTCAATCACTGGATTGTCTGGTCCAGACTCTTTTATTTACAGACTGCCATCATACAGCTGGAATATTGCTGAGTGCACTGTTAAACAACAAACAAAACAAATAGTTCATGGGTCAATATTTGATAATTTTCCAAGAGTTTGAAATTATTGTTGTTTACCAGTTCAGGGATCCACTGATGATGGGTTTGAATACAACATTTGCCCCCAAAATGATGCTTGGCCCTTCATATCTGTGCTTGTGGGTTTCACATCTATAGCCTATGTACCCTCCTGACTCTCATACACCTGTGAGCATATTCCAGATTAGAATATGTCCCCATCAACCTTTGCTGGTCGTAGGAGGCCACTTTATGTATTGGATGGTCATGATCCTTGACTCGGTGGATTGTGTGTTTATCCCAAGGGCATAGAGCGTTGTTCATATTACCAAAGACTGGATTGTCTGGTCCAGACTCGATTATTTACAGGCTGCTGTCATGTATCTGGAATATTCCTGGATTTTAGCCATGATAACACACACTTCCAACATAAAGCTGAAAACTACTGCTCCAACTCCTTACCTTGTTAACTATGCTGGGCATGATTTGACTCTTTAAAACATGCACCAGTACAATCTATTATTGAAAAATGCAACCTAATATTTTTTGTCTTCACACACCAATTATATGTGTCTGACTAGCCCTTAACTGTTCACACAACATCGATCTTTGATCTTTTTAGCTCCATTTTATTCACGATACTATATCACTAATCCCTGTGTTACAAGTAATTTATCATGCTTTCAAACTGTGGGTACTTCAAGATTATGTGCACATGTTCCTATAATGGGAATGTGTCATTAACTTATGTGTCAATGGCAGCAGACCGGCCTGTTTCAACTTTGACAAATTTATGGGACCGGGGTGCAACCTGGTTTTGTCCGGTGCAATTAGGTTTTCATGTCAATATGCACCTGGTGCAAGTTAAATCCTGTTCCTTAAATGGGGCCCTGCTATGTGAATGGGGTAGGTCAGGTAGCCTAGTGGTTACAGCGTTCGCTCGTCACGGTCACGCTGAAGACCCGGGTTCGATTCCCGACATGGGTACAATGTGTGAAGCCCATTTCTGGTGTCCCCCGCCTTGCTGGAATATTGCTAAAAGCGTCGTAAAGCCAAACTCACTCACTCACTATGTGAATGTTCCTCTGATCCAGCGGAGGCCCAGAGGCAGGAGAAGATCTCCCTCCAGCACATCCAGGACGTGCTGCACCGTGTAGAGGAGGTCCTGGGGCTGTGGAAGGTCCTGTTTGATCACCAGTTCCATGTCATCGCCTCCGGGCTCACCAAGGTGGGAACAACTCTCTCATACATCTGCTAGAATGTTCAATGCCATGTTAGGTCCTGCCAAATTATCCTATAACTTCTTAACATGTGAAGCACATTTTTAGTGTCCCCTGCTGTGATATAACTTGAATATTGCTAAAAGCATCATAACTCAGGTGAAAGAGATGTCTTTCCAGTGAAGTCTTAAGACAATTCCCTGTGTGTCTCCATCTTGCCTTGGGACGGCCTCTCTGGTCTAGTCGTAGAGCATCTGCCCAGAGAGCGGAAGGTCCTGAGTTCGATCTCTGGCCGCGTCATACCAAAGGACGTTAAAAGATGGTACTTATTGTTACCCTGTCTGGCGCTCATCATTAAAGGGCTAAAACAATAACTGGTCATCTCTGAGTCAAAATACTGTGTCTGAGGTATTCATATTAGATTGTGGCATGGTATCTCTGTGGGCTAGCACTATAAATCGGCCTGAGTCTGGACTAGTACAAGCAGCCACACACACACGTGCATGTACATCGCTATAAAAGCACAATAATCTTTGACGGGACGTTAAACACAATTTCATCTCACCCACCATCTTGCCTTGCTTTATAACAAGTTGATGTTATTTGAAGGCTCACTGGGATATTTGACATCTCCTTTTCTGTTAGATTTTGGGGGCCCTCATACTCATAGTAGCGTGTCCTCATCATCAGTTGTCCTACTCTGTCTCTTGTTTGGGGGCACGGGCTTCCCAGTCGTCAAAGCCACCACAATTTGCTGTGCAGAGTTGTGTTCTGCATCACTTCGAGCTCTAACAATATAAGATAGCTACGCAATAAATTGCAAAGACCAATGAAGAACAAAGGGTGATTTATTTTACGATAAGACGTTGTTCTATCATGACATCATTTCCGGAGATTTGAACATGTTCTTACAGCTTGATAACATTGTATGTTGGACAACGTCACTTTTGAGTGTGAAGTTTGTAGTGAGTTGTTCCCCACAGATGTAGCTGGGCAACGCAAACGATGGCAATGGCCAAACAATCACATTCAAATGTGGGAGAGATATGACAATCAGTATTGGGAGAAACAATACAGATAATCAATGTGAAAATCGTGAGAATGTGCCGGAAATACCGAACGTAACCGCCTGTTTGTCCGACATTGCGAGGTCGGATTGTATTCAGTAAGTCATCATTATTTAAATACAGTTAAATAATTTATATCTCATAGAAGAAATAAACGACTCGTGGTCGTTGTTTAACGTACAATAAAACACTGCGCCCGTCATGGTTTATTCTCCCCACAGTCTTTTAATAGTTTTATTGTACGTTAAACAACTCCCACTCGTTTATTTCTTAATTACGGTGACACACCATGATCTGACTGGAATACTGTTCATGAATAAAGTACTGAATAAAGCCAACTCACTCATTATCACTTGTTCCTTTTTAGGATCAACAGAATCAGCTCCGGTCAATGTCTTTCAAGCAGCTTGTCATCAGTGGGAAGGAGGTAAGTGTTGGGATGTCTGCTATTTTTTATTTGTTTCATAATCTGTTCCTGCTTATAATAACAGCTAGCCCCGTGAGGTTTCTGGGTCAGTATTAGGCCCCAGCCACCTATGCTTGTTGTACTTGGCGGCTTAAAGAGTCAAGTTGTCATGCTGGTAAAATGGTTATAGTTTGTCAATAAGGCCGATAGTGTGGATCCTTGCTCATAATCTACCACAGAGATCTCAATTACCTCATGCAGCACGTGCGTAGCCACCTAGCTGCCATGTGACACCCTTCACTCTTGTCTCCTTCGCTTGTGTTAGCAAGACGTGTATCCTACTGCTGAAGCGTTCCTCGAATATTCGGTGATATTTTTTATAGTTTATTTTGTAATAAACTGTGCTTTTTATGAGGCGTTGCGTTGGATATAATTTTCCCGCCAAACGGAGAATTTTTCCCGCCCTTTTTTCTCGATACTTGCGGGGTCGCTCATGCACGTTGTGTTTTACGTTTCCCCTGTTCTTGTATGTTTTGGGGGTTAACATCACTTATTTCTCTATATGTTATATGTGTATGTTATATGTTCACATTGCTCGTTTATTTTCTTGTGAAAATGCTCGTTTGTGAATCATTGTGGTGTGTGCGTTGTAACCATTGTTTGCTCTCTGTTCATAGAATAAAAAAATGTGTGACATTGAAATGTCCCCCCGTTTCAACCCCCTCTACCCCTGCTCCTCGGAGTTGCGGGGTGTGCCGCAAATTCTTGTCGTCCCGGGATCCCCACGATCGTTGCCCACGGTGCAGGGTTCCTTGCGGGGACACCCGGTGCACCCTGTGCGAAGGTCTGGGGCCTGCGGAGTTTGAGCGCTACCGACTCAGTCCAGTCCGTCTCCATCCCTGTGGTAACGTCGCTATATAAGTGCAATAATCTTGGACTCGATGTTAAACCCCATTTCACCTCACCTCACCATCCCTGTGGTGGCGGTTACCACCTCCTCGGCTGCGACGGATCCCTTGGCGGCCCTCGGGCTGTCCAGGGATTCTGTCACCGCATTGTTATCTAAACTTGTGGACTCCAAGCTGGCGGCCTTATCTCAGGATAGGCCGCTGGCTGTTCCGTCCCCGGCCTCTTCGGTGGCCGCGGGTTCGGACGCGGGGTCCACCGGTACGGCGGCGGCTGCCGTGGACACCGGTTCTTCCCCGAACCTCTCCCGCTATCGGTTAAGGACCGCGTGGCCATGGTTTATGACCTCTTCGAGGACATGCCCAAGCCCCTGCCGATACTGTGGGGAATCCACGGCTCCGAGTCGTCCGACAAGGCTTTCCCGGCAGCAACCTTGCTGCGCGGGATTAAGCCTGTCCTGGAGAAGGCCTTCGCGGCTGCCTCCGGTCGGGGTCTCCCGTTACCTCCACCGTCGTGGAGAAAAGGGTCCTTCCCGGTGCATGACCTTGCCTTTCCCAAGGCTGGTCCTACCGCGGAAGCCCATGTTGAGCGTTTTGGTGTCCGTGCCCCACCGGCTGCCACAAGGTACCTTGCAGCAGCTGGACACCCTCGCTCGACAGTCCATGCTTGCAATGTCTCACGGAGACACATACCTGGCTGCAGCGGCCAGTCTGGTCGAAGGTTCTCCCACGGACCAAGACCAGCGCATTTATAACTGCCTGATCGGTTTAAATGCTTCCCTGGAGTACGGTGCCGGGGCTTCGGCCTTTATTTCTGGCATGTGCCATTTTTCTCCGGCGCCAGTCGTATCTGGTTGCCTCAGGGCGCTGCTAATCAGGAGGTGCTCCTTTCGCAGCCTTGGTCTGCTCGGACCCTGTTTAATAACAAGATCCCTGGGGTTCTGAAAGAACAACAGGCCGCTGTGTCTGCCGAGGCCTCTCGGCACACACTGGATCTTGTGGGGTCCTTGCATAGGCGCCTGGGTAAGGGCCATCAGCAGCCCTTTCGCGGGAAGAAGGGGAACTGGGGGAAGCCCAAGTCATCTAAGGACGGCAAGAGCCCCTCCAGGTGACTCTCATTTGAGGGGTTCGTATGCCGACAGCGCCAACTTCGGTTGGCCCGTAGGCGAACCTGAGTCACTTGGCCTTGGACAGTTGAGCCTGCCGCAGCCTGCCGCAGCCTGTCAGGCCTCCCTCTCCTTCCCCAGTGGGAGCCAGACTCCAGACTTACTGGGAGAATTGGGAACAAGTGTTCGACGACCCGTTGGTGGTCAACACGATTCGGTACGGCTATCGGCTCGATCTCAAAGCGAACCCGCCACTCACCGTTGCCCCGTCGGCAGGTTTCTATTCGGAAACTGATCTTTCTATCCTCGCCGATGCCATTGGCAGGTTGGTGGAGAAGAGGGCAGTTAAGGAGTTAGCTCTACCAGAAATAACACCGGGGTTTTACTCCAGGATATTTCTCGTTCCCAACAAGGACAGTGCCAAACTCACAATGATTCACAACTTGAAATTGTTCAACGAGTTCTACCTGCACAAGCAGAATGTTGAGCTTGGCGGACCTGAAAGCTCTGATCATGCCGGCCGACTGGCTCGCTTCGATTGACCTGAGGATGCTTATCTGCATGTTCCGATTCACTTGGATCATCACAAGTATCTCCGGTTTGTCTTTCAAGGCAGGCACTACAAGTGGGTTGTACTCCCATTCGGTCTTTCATCTGCTACCTGGCTGTTCACCCGGTTAACCACCCCTATAGTGGGGTTCCTCCACCGGAGGGGTGTCCAGTACTTCGCGTACCTGGACGACTCGCTAGTAGAAAATCGAATGACGGACATGCTGTCTCGGCAGCTCTATTTCGCACGTCGGCTCTTGGAGCAATTGGGGTGGATTGTCAATCTCCCCAAGAGCGAGTTAACCCCCTCTCAGAACTTGCAGTTCATCGGAGGTCGGTTCAACACGGTGACCCATCCTCTCTTTGTCCCCCCAGACAGGTGGCACAAGATTCAGGCGATGATTGCCAAAGTCTTAGCGGTGCAACAGACTGTTCACTTTTGGGAACAGCTGTTAGGGCTACTTGTATCAGCCCAGGACTGCACCGAACGGGGTCGTCTCCAACTCCGCCCGCTGCAAGGGTTTTTAATCCAGTTGTTAGCACTGGAGGAGAACAGTGCGACCGTCGCCCTCCCGGATCGGCTCCGACCGCATCTGGAGTGGTGGACGGTCCCTTACAATGTCTTATCAGGAGTCTCTATGCGGCCCTACCGGGCCACGTTGAACCTGTATACAGACGCCTCTCTAGTGGGCTATGGCGCCCATCTAGAGGGGGAGGTGAGCTCGGGGCTGTGGTGCGTAGACGAACTAGGTCTTCACATCAATTGTCTCGAGTTCAAGGCAGTGATCAACGCAGTCAATCACTGGAAGCATCGTCTCGTCGACGCCCGGCTCATGCTGGCGACCGACAACACAACGGTAGTGTCCTATGTGAACAAACTGGGGGGAACCCACAGTCACTCGCTACTCGATCTCACGTTCGAGTTTTACGCTCTGGTGGACAGTGTCCCGTGCAAGATACGCGCCCGTCACATCCCAGGTGTGCGGAACGTACTGGCCGATGCTCTATCGAGGCCTCAGGATCCGAGCCCCACAGAGTGGATGCTGAACCCAGTAGTATAAGTAATACGTTACCACTGGGCTGCTGCCCGCCCGTCCGTCCCCCGAGCACTTGCTCTCGCAAGAGACAAGAGTGAAGGATGTCACATGGCAGCTAGGTGGCTACGCACGTGGTGCATGAGGTAATTGAGATCTCTGTGGTAGATTTCGCTATAGTAGCAGTTGTGGGAGACAACAGCCTCGGTATAACAGTGGTAACGTATTACTTATAGAAAAATTCCTTATAGGAAAATTCTACAAGATTATCTACAGTTGCATAACTCGAATATCGTTGAGCATGCTGAGTATAGTGTTATGCAACAAACGGATAATTAAGACTACAGAAAATGTAGAAGCACCAGCTTTACTGTGATATGACCCCTTTAAAAAAATTCAGAAAGTTTACACACGGCTGACAAGGTGAAGGTAGTCAGAGGGTACTGTAAATGTAAAAACATTAAAATTATTTTTTGTCTGTTTTCAGATGTGTAATTCCTTGATCACATGTCTCATCAATCGTTACCTTGACGACAATGCAACAATAGATGCCATCAGCAAGAAGCTGAGAGAAGTTTGTCCATCACTGTACAGTTCTGATGACGCTACATGTTCTAAGGTAAACAGGAGTGGGGGACATTCCTGTATGTTCAGATATCAGTACAGTACCAGAAAGTCTGAAGGTTTCTTTTTTTCCAATTAGTCTTTTTATAGATTTTTTTACAAGAACTTTATCATCTTTGGTCAGGATCATGATGATTAAAATTAATTTTAATTTCCAAATTATGATTTATAAATAATCTTATGAATTATTATCAGTCAGGTGAAATAAAGAAAGGGGCAGTCGAGTGGCCTGGTGGTTAAAGCGTTCGCTCGTTATGCTGAAGACCCAGGTTCGAATCACAACACGGGTACATAGTGTGAAGCCCATTTCTGGTGTCCCCTACTGTGATATTGCTGGAATATTGCTAGAAGCGGCATTAAACCAAACTCACTCACATAAAGTCAGAAAGGACAAAAGTTTTTTTTTTTACATGTGGAAGGTTACTTCCATTAAGGACCCTAAAGTACCTCCTCTGTGTTCTTGTCTGACTTTACTAAAGCGGTGTTTGTTCACAGTCCAACGAGTTGCTGCAGGCGGCCCGAGTCAACCAGAACCAGCAGGAGAAGAGGAAGCAGCTGAATGAGGCGCTCCGGGTAGGGGAGATCACTCAGCATCTTCTAAGGGGAATTTGAAACTTCACTGTTGGGCTTGGTTTGTAGGATAAAGCAACTGCACCAGTATAGGATTGTTTCCAAGAATTCTGGAATGTGCCCTAGAGTTAAATAAATGCACATGTTGGTGTACAACTACCAGAAAGAATTGTTAATGTCATGGGTGCTGTTGTACAGAGCAAACTTAGCGCTAAGGTGATCGGTACTCCCATACCTTACTATACACTTACGACAGTCATAGCGCTGAGGTTGTTTTGTACAACAGCACCCAGGTCAAGAGCACTACACTATTTTAGTTGACTTCATCAAGACTGATGGCATGGTAGCGAATGCTATCTAAGAATCAACCTGTTTAATTTCTGTGGTATTTGGTTTTATCATCTATGCCTGTGTCATTTTGGCATTCTTTTCTTTTCATGGGCTTGAATTGACTTGAATTTGGCATGAAGAGGCTGCTTTTTAGAGGCACTAAAAGTGTTTTTATTATTAAAGTTCTAGCTATGTTCTTGAAACAGTTCTCCCCTTGTTCTCGTTACTGCAGCTGTACAAGAATGTGAACACCCCCCTGCAGCTGCCAGCTGTGTGTAGCCAGTTCGCCAACATCAACTTCTATGAGGGCATCGTTGAGCTGTGTCTGACAGAGGCTCGTAAACTTGACCCGCAGGACCTGGCCTCTCACTTCTACCAGAACGGGGAGCCCCCAGAAGACACCCAGGGATTCCAGGCTTACTACCACAGGTGAGTCGCGGGATGCAGTAATCCATGGCAGTGGGTGCAGGGTTGCAGTAATCCATGGCAGTGGGTGCAGGATTGCAGTAATCCATGGCACTGGGTGCAGGGTTGCAGTAATCTATGGCAGTGGGTGCAGGGTTGCAGTAATCTATGGCAGTGGGTGCAGGATTGCAGTAATCTATGGCAGTGGGTGCAGGATTGCAGTAATCTATGGCAGTGGGTGCAGGGTTGCAGTAATCCATGGCACTGGGTGCAGGGTTGCAGTAATCTATGGCAGTGGGTGCAGGGTTGCAGTAATCTATGGCAGTGGGTGCAGGGTTGCAGTAATCTATGGCACTGGGTGCAGGATTGCAGTAATCTATGGCACTGGATGCAGGATTGCAGTAATCTATGGCAGTGGGTGCAGGGTTGCAGTAATCTATGGCAGTGGGTGCAGGGTTGCAGTAATCCATGGCACTGGGTGCAGGGTTGCAGTAATCTATGGCAGTGGGTGCAGGGTTGCAGTAATCTATGGCAGTGGGTGCAGGATTGCAGTAATCTATGGCAGTGGGTGCAGGATTGCAGTAATCTATGGCAGTGGGTGCAGGGTTGCAGTAATCTATGGCAGTGGGTGCAGGGTTGCAGTAATCTATGGCAGTGGGTGCAGGGTTGCAGTAATCTATGGCAGTGGGTGCAGGGTTGCAGTAATCTATGGCAGTGGGTGCAGGATTGCAGTAATCTATGGCAGTGGGTGCAGGATTGCAGTAATCTATGGCAGTGGGTGCAGGGTTGCAGTAATCTATGGCAGTGGGTGCAGGATTGCAGTAATCTATGGCAGTGGGTGCAGGGTTGCAGTAAGTTGCAGGGTTGCAGGACTACTGTTATCACATTTTGAAGCTTTTTGAAAGGAAAGGGGGTATTGTATCTGTGTAATCTGATATTCTAAAATCCACTGTGGAGAGTTGTTGCGTGGTGACCTTGTTTGTGATCCTTGATCTGTCAGCACCACACCCATGCTCATGGACTTAACAAAGTCTACAGCTTGTATCAATTTTCTCTTTTCTTCTCACAATAATCTGACAAGTTTTGATTTAGTTATTGCATTAAATCCAGTAAGTAAGTCGCTTACTTTGTAAAATACAAATTAGATTGCATCTACCTTCAAAGAATATTGTGTCCTCCTGTTATGAGTGGCAGTTAGATTTTTTTAAAAGGTCAGAATGTCAAGATCTTAAACAAATAACTACCACAATAGATTCCAGGTGATTGTGACTTTAGGCAATAATAATAATAATAAAGTCCATTTCTTCAGCGCCATTTCCATCTACGTAGTTGCTCATAGCGCCTCACACAGGGTCATAGACACATCTAAAGAGATTAGTCTTTAGTTTTGTCTTGAAAGTGTCTGGAGTTGGAGATTGCTTAATTTCCACTGGAAGGGAATTCCAGAGCACAGATGCAGTGTGAGCAAAATTTCTGTTGCCGAATGCTTTGAGTGAGACCATAGGGACACTAAACTGAGTTTATGTGCTGTTCTGAGATCTCGTGCTGGCTGGTGTAGGGTAAGAAGTTCACTCAGATAGGAAGGTGGTGTACTATAGTAGCACTGGTATGCAATGCAAGTGACACTTCTTCACCTATCTTATCCTTGTGCAACAGTTCTGTGGTTTGTCTTCCAGGATGGAGTGCTACAAGTGCATCACCGAGATCCTGGGCTACCTGTGGTCTGCTAGTGTGTCCCACCCCCAGGCTCCCAGTGTACCCAAGTCCCCCGGCCCCCCTCCAGCCCCCGACCCCAGCCGTGTCGCTGCCCCTCAGGCAGACCAATATGTGAGTATGCCATGTATACAGGGCCTCTGAAGCCTGAATCTATGAAGACTGGCTGTTTAAAGATGTATCAATAGGATACGATTTAGACTTGACCTGATACATGTTAAGCATTTCAAGCAGTAATAAACAAAAGTAAAGTTTTAAATCTTTGTTGTCGCCTGATTTAGGAAGCATGTGAGCTAGCACTTTATCCTTATCAGGAGTTGTGTAGTATATTTTGTTTGAGATGAATGTGATATGAATTGTGCTGCCATAATGACATTACCGTTAGCATTATGGGGGCGGTGGGTTAGCCTAGTGGTTAAAGCATTCGCTTGTCACGCTGAAGGACCAGGTTTGATTCCCTGCATGTCTACAATGTGTGAAGCCTATTTCTGGTGTCCCCTGCTGTGATATTGCTGGAATATTGCTTAAAGCGGTGTACAATGTTTATATATTGCCCTTTTAGAAGCTTTTGACAAGCTTTTGCCCATGTGGATTCCAGGGGAACAGGTCCTCAGTACCGCATAAACAATATCATACTTGTCATTTGTGGTCTGATTGTATGTCATCAAAACTCATGCTATTAAATACTTGACGTTCTCCATCTTCCCTATGTCAAAGCTTAGTTTCTACCCTTGACACATCAAGGCCACTTTTTTTGGCTCAACTCGAGTGCCACCTCGCGTAGATAAAGAGTTGTGCCCCTTGTAATGAAAACGTAATATCCAATCAGATCGCTGTTCTTCACCATAGACGATGACCTAGTCAATCAGATACCGAAAACATTTGCGATTACATCCCTGAGACAAAAACATAGGCAATCGTTTAGGGGGGTTTAAAAGATGAAAAAGACATGTCAACAAAGACAGACAACTGTAAATCACTTTCATACACAGGTGTACCAGTTGTGGATGTTGATTTTGTGAAACGTTCTCTGATTGGACAATCCATATGTGTAATAGTCCAATCATATTTAGCACAGGAAAGTAGGCTTGATGTGGCAAGGGTGGAAACAAGACATTGATAAAAAGCCTACTGGATGCTCTTGCCTTGGGAAGATGGACAGTCTCATTTGCTGTGATGTAACTGCTATTCAATAATATTTATCCGTTCATGACAAACATGTATCGTCATCTTTGGTGACTGTTCCTGCTACAGAGGACCGACATCCTAAGGATGGCCCTCAAGTCGGAGGATGCTCTGTTCCACACATCCCTGTACGACTGGTTCTTCATCACCAACAACTCAGAGAAACTTCTGGAGGTAGGTCACTAAACTGACAGCAGAGTAAGGCATCAATATAAACTTTAATTATTTTAGAACAGCTATGTACAAGGGTTGATTGATAAGTTCTAAGCAAGGTGGTGAGATGAGGTGTAATGGGGTTTAACGTTGTGTCCAAGATTATTGCACTTATGTGTGTGTGCGTGGCTGCTTGTACTAGTTACTAATGCTGATTTTGAGGTCCCACTGAGCGCCGCAGTTTTAATATAAATACCCCACTCAGACACAGTATACTTGTATCCCTTCAGTGCCCTAGGCAGGGTAACAACAAGTACAGTTTTTTTAGCACATTTTGATATGATTCGGCCGGGGATGGAACCCCGGACCTTCCACTTTCCAGGTGCTCAACCAGTAGTCCACAAAGGCAGTCTTCTGAGTAAGGAATTGTGGAATTGTGAAATCTTTTGTTGTTGACATTACATGGATGTCATGGAGATATATCCACAAAAACTAGATTGAGTAAATTGACTAAGCAGTAAAATAAGCAGGGATCTGTGACCTTGGGAAAATGGAGAAACTTGAGGAATATGCATTGATCAAGTACTTGCAAGAAAAAGTTGTTAACACTAAATGTCATCCAGGAACATTTGAATACAACACTTGGGAAGGACGCTCCTTCGTATACCATGATAAAGAAGTGGGCAGCGGAGTTTAGGCATGGCATGGAAAGCTTTTCAGACGACTCCCATTTGGGAAGGCTTCTCTCGTCATTAACACCAGATATGATCGAGAGAATCCATGTTATGGTGATGACCTACCTATGAATGACTGAGTGTCATATTTCTAAGAGGGAGTATGTTCTATTCTTACGGTAACTTTGGTAATGAAGAAAATATCACCTCATTAAGTTCCCATACTTCTAACATCTAATAAGAAAGGCACCACTCAAAACATGTCTCATGATAATCTAGCTCGGTTTGAAGCTGATCCAGAAAGGTACTTGCAATATTTTGTGACTGGCTGAAAACTGGGTTCACCCCTTGCCATACCTGAATCCAAACAACAATCTGACAGTTCTTGATCACCGCAAGTTTCTCAAGTTCCCCAAACACACACCGCCCCGTCTATGCCACGCCGAGGCCGCGCCACGCCGCACCACACTCATTCACCCACTCACTCCCTGTTTCAGATTCAGACCCCCTATGTGGAAGCCTATCTGAAGCGGAAGACACAGCTACACTCTGGCAATGTGGAGGCTCTTGACATGCTGTGGAAGTACTATGAGAAGATCCAGAACTTCCCCTCCGCAGCTAAGATCTTGTCCCAGCTGGCGGAGAGACACAGGTACTGTTATTTCAGAGTCGAAAAATTAATGATATAATTGCCCTACATTATGTACAGTAACCTTTACAAGTCTGACGAGTTAGTTCACCACTAGTACTTCATCATGGCTATCTGTGGATGTAGTAACATCATGGCAGTATGTTGTCAAAGAATTAGGAAAGGAGAAAGATTGGCTGAGAAAGGTTTCTGTACAACATTCTTATTGAAGATTAAGGCATTATACATAGCCTCCACTCATTAAAGCTTCATGTCATGTTGCCAGAAGAGCCTGTATGGAGTTTGTATGTCGGTATTTCAATACGATACCTGGTGGTGTTAAACTGGACTGATGAGTTGATTCCTCCCCAGCATGGACGTGCCCCTGCAGCAGCGGATCGAGTACCTGTCCCGGGCCATCATGTGTGCCAAGAGCTCCACGTCCAGGATAATGTCGGCCGCAGGGGGAGAGTTTCTGCACGAGCTGGAGGAGAAGATGGAGGTGAGACTGTAGCAAGAGATGTCTGGGTCTGTGATGGATATGTCCCCAGTGGCTCAGGATCTGTTATGAACAAGCCCCCTGTGCCCCTGGGTTTGTGATGGATAAGTCGCCTGTGTCCGGGGATCTGTGATGGATAAGTCCCCTGTGTCCGGGGGTCTGTAATTGATATGTCCCCTGTCCCCCGGAGTCTGTAATGGATATGTCCCCTGTGTCCGTGGGTCTGTAATTGATATGTCCCCTGTCCCCCGGAGTCTGTAATGGATATGTCCCCTGTGTCCGGGGGTCTGTGATTGATATGTCCCCTGTGTCCGGGGATCTGTGATTGATATGTCCCCTGTCCCCCGGAGTCTGTAATGGATATGTCCCCTGTGCCCCTGGGTTTGTGATGGAAAGGTTCCCTGTGCCCCTGGGTCTGTGATTGATATGTCCCCTGTCCCCCAGAGTCTGTAATGGATATGTCCCCTGTGCCCCTGGGTTTGTGATGGATAAGTTCCCTGTCCCCAGGAGTCTGTAATGGATATGTCCCCTGTGCCCCTGGGTTTGTGATGGATAAGTCCCCTGTGCCCCTGTGTTTGTGATTGATATGTCCCCTGTCCCCCGGAGTCTGTAATGGATAAGTTCCCTGTGCCCCTGGGTTTGTGATTCATATGTCCCCTGTCCCCCGGAGTCAGTAATGGATATGTCCCCTGTGCCCCTGGGTTTGTGATTGATATGTCCCCTGTGCCCCTGGGTTTGTGATGGATATGTCCCCTGTGCCCCTGGGTTTGTGATGGATATGTCCCCTGTCCCCCGGAGTTTGTAATGGATATGTCCCCTGTGCCCCTGGGTTTGTGATGGATAAGTCCCCTGTCCCCCGGAGTCTGTAATGGATATGTCCCCTGTGCCCCTGGGTTTGTGATGGATATGTCCCCTGTGCCCCTGGGTTTGTGATGGATATGTCCCCTGTCCCCCGGAGTTTGTAATGGATATGTCCCCTGTGCCCCTGGGTTTGTGATGGATAAGTCCCCTGTCCCCCGGAGTCTGTAATGGATATGTCCCCTGTGCCCCTGGGTTTGTGATGGATATGTTCCCTGTGCCCCTGGGTCTGTGATGGATATGTCCCCTGTCCCTCGGAGTCTGTGATGGATAAGTCCCCTGTGCCCCTGGGTTTGTGATGGATATGTCCCGTCCCACGGAGTCTGTGATTGATAAGTCCCCTGTGCCCCTGGGCCTGTGATGGATATGTCCCCTGTGCCCCTGGGTCTGTGATGGATATGTCCCCTCCCCTGTGCCCCTGGGTCTGTGATGGATATGTCCCCTGTGCCCCTGGGTCTGTGATGGATATATCCCCTGTGCCCCTGGGTCTGTGATGAATATGTCCCCTGTATCCCTGGGTTTGTGATAGATATATCCCCTGTGCCCCTGGGTCTGTGATGAATATGTCCCCTGTATCCCTGGGTTTGTGATGGATATATCCCCTGGGCCCCTGGGTCTGTGATGAATATGTCCCCTGTATCCCTGGGCTTGTGAGGGATATATCCCCTGTGCCCCTGGGTCTGTGATGGATATGTCCCCTGTGCCCCTTGGTCTGTGATGGATATGTCCCCTGTGCCCCTGGGTCTGTGATGGATATGTCCCCTGGGTCTGTGATGAATATGTCCCCTGTATCCCTGGGTTTGTGATGGATAGTCCCCTTTGATCCTGGGTCTTAGATGGATAAGTTCCCTGTGCCCCAGAGTCTGTGATGAATAAGTCCCCTGTGTCCCTGGGTCTGTGATGGATAAGTCCCCTGTGCCCCTGGGTCTGTGATGGATATGTCCCCTGTATCCCTGGGTTTGTGATGGATAGTCCCCTTTGATCCTGGGTCTTAGATGGATAAGTCCCCTGTGTCCCTGGGTCTGTGATGGATAAGTCCCCTGTGCCCCTGGGTCTGTGATGGATAAGTCCCCTGTGTCCGTGGGTCTGTGATGGATATGTCCCCTGTGTCCGTGGGTCTGTGATGGATATGTCCCCTGTGTCCCTGGGTCTGTGATGGATAAGTTCACTGTGCCCCTGGGTCTGTGATGGATATGTCCCCTGTGTCCATGGGTCTGTGATGGATAAGACCCCTGTGTCCGTGGGTCTGTGATGGATAAGTCCCATGTGCCCCTGGGTCTGTGATGGATATGTCCCATGTGCCCCTGGGTCTGTGATGGATATGTCCCCTGTGCCCCTGGGTCTGTGATGAATATGTCCCCTGTATCCCTGGGTTTGTGATGGATAGTCCCCTTTGATCCTGGGTCTTCTATGGATAAGTTCCCTGTGCCCCGGAGTCTGTGATGAATAAGTGGTCTGTGTCCGGAGGTCTGGGATGGATAAGTCCCCTGTGTCCCTGGGTCTGTGATGGATAAGTCCCCTGTGCCCCTGGGTCTGTGATGGATATGTCCCCTGTGTCCGTGGGTCTGTGATGGATAAGTCCCCTGTGCCCCTGGGTCTGTGATGGATATGTCCCCTGTGTCCGTGGGTCTGTGATGGATATGTCCCCTGTGTCCCTGGGTCTGTGATGGATAAGTCCCCTGTGCCCCTGGGTCTGTGATGGATATGTCCCCTGTGTCCGTGGGTCTGTGATGGATAAGTCCCCTGTGTCCCTTGGTCTGTGATGGATAAGTCACCATTGTTCCTAGACTTGATTTGATCACTAACAGTAAGCTGTGATAGAGCTGGAATATTTTTGACTGTGTCTTTCAACAATATTCACGCCCCATGAGTATTCTGGGGAAGAATTTGCACTGAGTACTCCGCCAACAACTTATGAGGATGCAGTAGTTTGACTCACTTGGCTGCTTCTCATGACTGGACCCTGGAGCCACCTCAGCTGTCACTGTCTTGTTTCAGGTGGCCCGACTACAGCTGCAGGTACAGAAGGCGCTGGCCAAGTCCCTCGGTCCGGCCATCCCACACGGTGACACCAGGGGACTCCTGGTCAGACTGGACTCTGAACTGCTGGACATCACCACGGTACGAGGCTTTACAGTATCGGTGCATCACACTCAGTATCGGTGCATCACAGTATCAGTACATCACACTCGGTATCAGTGCATCACACTCGGTATCAGTGCATCACACACAGTATCGGTGCATCACACTCACTATCGGTGCATCGCACTCCATATCATTCTGTTATGGTGTCCCCCATTGGGGATGCCAGATAGCAACCTATGTGGCTTGTGAAAGACGACTTATCTGATCAAGTGTTCATGAAGGGTGGGCCTTTTGTTCATAATATCAACCACTGGATTGTCCAGACTCATTCCTTCACAGGCCACAGTGAAATGGCTGGAGTATGTCTGAGTGCAGCATTGACCAACAAACTCTTTCTCTTGTTCAGTGTGCAGGGTATTTGTGCAGAAGCTGAATTCAGATTTAGACTTATTTTGACTGAAAACAGCACAATAATATTGATTCACTCTGTAGACAGTTGCAATAATGCCCTGCTGCTGAAAAGGTTGCCGTTCCACTTAAACCAACTTTAAACCCCAAGATCCCAAATACACTCACTCACGAAGTAATACAATGGACAACAATTCCTGCTTTCAGCTGTATGAAGAGTATGCAGACAGGTTTGACCTCTCTGAGTGCAAGCTGGCCATCGTCCACTGTGCTGGACTCTACGACAATGCCCTGATTGACAACCTGTGGCAGAGTATAATTGATAAAGGTAGGCAGGCTCTTCATGTTCATGCGGGATGTGTTCTGTATAACCTTGATGTTCAAACACTGCATTTTCATGTTAATTTAGGGGGCACGGGTGGCCAAGTTGTCTAAGGCGCCGCGATTCGATGTGCAGAGTTGCGTCCCTTGGGCACGCCAGAAACCTCTGATTGTGGGTTCGAATCCCGGTTCGCCCCGATTATGTTTCTAGGTAAGCACCATACCCGTGCTCGTGGGTTTTACCGAAGTGGTAAACGTCTGAGACCTGCATCACTTCGGGCTTTCCTCCCACATTAAGCTGACACGCCATGATATAACTGTGATACTGTTAAAAGCAGCGTTAAACCTAACTCACTCACTCACTCACTCATGTTAATTTAAATGTTACCGCACTGAGTTGCATCCCTTAGGTGTGCCAGGAACCTATCATAGTGGTCCCGGGCCATCACCCTGGTTATGTTTCTAGGTTTGTCAGCATCATACCAGTTCTCGTGGGTTTCACCAAAGTGGTAAACATCTAAGACATGCATCACTTTAGGCATTCCTCCCACATCAAGCTGACATGGTGTGATATAACTGAAATTCTGTTCAAAGAGGAGTAAAACCAGACACACTTGCTCACTCAAACAAAGGTTGTCTTGCCTGTGATTGATGACAGGTTTCAATAGGCCTATATATATTCATGATTTTGCAGACTTTGCTACCAATTCAGCAGCGGCCGCCCAAGTCCGAGTGACCAACATCAGCAATCATCTAGTCAGTGTTGCTAAGATCTATGTCAATACTGAGAGATACTTTCCTGTGGGTGAGTTGTAGCTGTTTTTATCACCATGAGGCTAAGAAATAATTGTAGGTACGTCAGTATAGAATCATCTTCCCGGGGCAAGGGAGTTAACTGACTCGTTTCTTGTTTCCATCCTTGCCAAACTAGGCTGGAATTAAGGAGTTTTATTTTGGCTGGACTAACGAGTCTATGCATAGTCCAATCAAATCGTGTAACAAACTAGACATGCGGTTCGTAAACGATATGGGTTTCACCTGCAAATGTCGCTCGACTGAAGGACAGCAAAGCATGTGTACCGCCAGCTTGGCATTGACAGATATTTTGCATTTTTTTTTATGTTTGTGATCAAGGTGCTCAAGAGTTTTGATGCACTTTGCGACGTAAAGACCGTTTTATTATAAATCTTGTAATTATTACAATATTGATCTTGAATATCGATCAGATTGTCTTGATTGGCAGCCGCCATTTTGTTTGACACAATTGCAAGTGATGTTAGAGGTGGAATCTGATTAGTCAATAGGAGGGACAGAGAAGGGACATAACTCGTAATAGCCACTGGTGACGCTACTATCGAGCCCAGTGGGCAAGCACTATATCACTGCCATTAGTCCGGACTCGAACAAATTGCCACGCTCGTGCATGTCGCTATGTAAGTGCAGTCTACCTGTGATGTTCAACCCCATTTCACCTCCTTATCTATCTGTTGGTAAGTTCATTACTGTGTTTGCTTCCAGCCTTCATCATTCGGCATCTGGAACAGAAGAGTTGTGAGCTGAACTTTGACCCTAACTGGGTGTTCCGGGCGATGCTGGATATCGGTGTGGCTCCGCCCAAACTGCTGGAGATATATGACAGGATGTTCAAGTCAAGGGTAAGTTTCAAGGTTTTCAATATCTTTCAATAAGCTCTTTCAGTTAAAAATGTTGTGTGACAGATTACTCCGAATCGGTCGGATGTGACCTGGATGATCGTGATAGTGTCATACGTGTCCTATGAGAATTGATGTTCACACTCAAGGACTGCAGAGATGCCAACCCTAACTGAATCTTTGGTGAAATCAGGGGGATAAAAAATAGTTATCCTAAGGTCGATCGATAAAATTACTTGAATTTGTTTCAACATAACCACCAATCAGGGACCTTCTATCATGTAGTAATGGATATTTCAACACAGTGTGAATTGAAAGCGTGGCTCTTATTGGTCAGCATAGTCTTGCTGTAGATCTGGATGACTGTGGTGTTGTATCTCGTTTGGAACTAGTCCCCAGGAACTATGCTTGTTGTGAGACGTGCATACATTTGATTGGGTGGTCAGGCAGGGGACTGGAAGTGATAGTGTGGATTTTGGCTTTCATGCTTACCTGGTCTAAATTCAATTATTTCATGGCTATTTTCATGTGGCTGGAAATATATGACACCAGCCTTAAACAACATTCAGTTATTCTACTTCAGAGGCTTACTCTCTTTTGTCGAACACCATTCACACACTTCCTGTGTGGAACTCTTTCTGGAATCCAATACGAGCATTGTGGAGCCATATGGAAACATGACATGTAATAGGATAATTCGTTCCCTCCCTTGTAGGATCCGTACTGGCAGACAAGACAGAAGCCCCTGCACCTGCTGGTGGTGCTGCTCAGCTTCCTGGCTCACTACTCCAACAACCCCAACATCATCCCCACACTGGAGAGGTGAGACTATACCCTGGCCTCTTTACATCCTAAACGACCCGTGAAGATCCGGGGTAGAATAGGTCTTCAGCAACCCATGCTTGCCATAAAAGGCGACTATGCTTGTCGTAAGAGACAACTAACAGGATCGGGTGGTCAGACTCGCTGACTTGGTTGATGCATGTCTTCGATCTCAATTTACTTGGTTCGATGCTCATGATGTCAATCACTGGATTGTGTGGTCCAGACTCGATTATTTTACAGACCGCTGTCAAATAGCTGTAATATTGCTGAGTGCGGCGTTGAAAAATAAACAAAGAAACAAAACATCCTAAACATCACATTTGTAATTTTTCTGAAGCATAGTTTTGCCTCAAATAAGCATTTAATGATAATTGACATCGTATCTGTCCATGTTGTGTTGTCTAAGGCAGGGTACATCCCAAATTGTAAGACTGACTCTTGAGGTTTGGGATTTTGCTGTAATCCAGTGTTATGTAAAACAGCGTACACTTTAGTTAGTGTCAAATGCCAGGAGTTTGTATAAAGCCATGCACTGTAAGACCGACTGTGTTCCAGACGGCGTTTCTCGACGGTGTGTTTGGATGCTGTGTCCAGCTACCTGGTGGAACTCCAGGCCAGGAGCAGCGCTGACCAGACGGTCAAGAGGCTTATCAGTCAGTTCAAGAGTCTCCAGTCCAAGCTGGAGAGGTTATAGGACAACATCACCTGTAGATGTATTGTACAGCTGAGTCCTCAAGGCCTTCAAAGAAGACTGCAACATCCTAGATTACTAAGGATATGCATGCGACATACTCAGCTCAATGACTGTATAAGGGTTGGCTGGGGAATGATAGGAAGAGTGGAAGTGTAAAAGTGTAAGCCAGGTACGTGTGAGCCTGTGGAAGTCTCCCGGCATGAATACAAAGATGTCTGCAGATCTGAACAGAGTCTGAAGTTCCGGATGAGAATGGATGCTTATCAGGATGATTCAGAACTTGGTAATCAGAAAGTCGTGGATAGCAGTGGACATGGAAAAACTTCATGTTGCAATGAGAGCCTTAAACAGTAATGTCTATGTTGATGTCCAGTTTAAATGAAGAAAATGTTTAACTGAGTCATTACACTGACGGCAGTTTTTGAGGGAGTGATGTGGTTGAAGGACTTATGGCTGAACATGTATGAACACCTGCGGCTGAACAAGTATGAACACCTGAGGCTGAACATGTGTGAACACCTGCGGCTGAACATGTGTGAACACCTGCGGCTGAACATGTATGAACACCTGCGGCTGATCATGTATGAACACCTGCGGCTGAACATGTATGAACACCTGTGGCTGAACATGTATGAACAACTGTGGCTGAACATGTATGAAAAGCAGAACTCTGATCAGGTTACAGCAAATGTGATGTGTAATGAAATTGATTTTATTGTCCTGTATCAGTATTATGAAAAAATAATAGGTTATGTATTCCAAGTTGAAGTTCTGCAATGTTCAGTGTGAGATGGATGTGTGTACAGAATGGGACAGCCAGGAAGGATACAAGGGGCTGTTTGTGTTGAATGAGAGATTTGTTGATACAATGGGACCGAAATGTGCTATTATATTGTGCTAAGCTGTCATATATACTACTCAAAAGTTAAAAAACACCCAACTTTTTCATTTCACTTGTTACGTCATGTCATGAAACAATCGATAGTATGCATGGATCACTGCATCGCTGGATGTTGTAATTATCATTGTGAAATATGTACATGTTATAATGTGGACCTATGTCATTTCTTATGTAAATCATGGTTTTATTACAAAACAGATTACAAACTTAATTAAGTGTTATTCTGGTGGTAAATGCATATTGATAAAACTTTGGAATCATTCACAATTAAATTCTTTCTCATTTACGTTTTTAGATCATGAGTCCCAAGGCGTTATTGTGTAAAAAGAACAAAAATATGTGTATATAGATAATTGAAGTGAGGTTGGTGCTCAATAAATGTGGTATGAAGACGAACTGTTGTGATTCTGTTTGGGTTTGCGGTATTCTATCTGGGTATTCAAATTTCTGTTACCCACTAGTTGTTACACATGTGGGTATTTAAGTGAAATATTTAAAAACACTATTCATCTAGTCCCTGCAAACTGGTGTTGTGTGGGTTCGAGAGCTTTATAGGACTCAAAAATACCACGATACTTCCACAAGAAAGTGTGATGGCAAATGATCATGACGTAACTGTCATCGTGGAGTTTGGCAAGGTTGACGGAATGCCCGTTTATAATTTCAAAATAAGTTGCTGATTTGCCAATCGAATACGCAGGGTTACTTCACAATATTTTGATGATACGCACAAGTTTTATTTTTGTAGCGTATCTGTAAGGTTCGTTGCATATTTGATACGCTTGGATATTATTTTCCTGCGTATTTCTGCATTTCTGATGCGTATTTTACACAGATATGCAGCTTATCTGGATCTCTGAGTGTGGTCAATTTTCTTTTCCTACAGAATACCATTTACATTTCTTTTGGAGATGTCAAGTCGGATATGCTCCACTGCTTCGCTTACACATGCCCAGAATTTGGAAGCCGCCACCCTCATTGTCAGATTAGTATTCTACAGATCTTGACAAAGAGGTAAGGAATCAGAGTGAAAGATATATTTTAATGACATTGGGAAGTAAGATGCTCTTTAGTCATCACATTGTGTGCGAACCAAGACACATTCAGGGCAGTATCGATACTGCTCTAAAATGTCATTGAATATGGCTACCATTTCTTATCGACAGTATCAGCGCTTTCGCCATTGAATCTCAATAGACTCTGTTGAAGACTGCCTCCATAGTGTATGGATAGAGCATCTGCACCGAAAGGAAGGTCGTTGGTATAATCCAGGCCACTTCTTACCAAAAGGATAGTTGGTACTTGCCGGGAGTCCCACCACACAGACACGTAGCTATATAAGTGCACTGATCTTAAAGTTAAACCCCATTTTCACCACTCTGTCTCCACTTGGGCGGGACAAAGAGGCCTGGGACAGTCACCGTCACTTGCCCTGTGACACCAGTAGCAACCACTGTGTAACACGTGTATACCCATACAATTGTCCGAGGTTACAGGGATTGGTTTCGAACATTTTCCCGAGGCAAGAGCGTCCACAAGCCTTTTTATCAAAGTCTTGTTTCCACACTTGCCACATCAAGCCCATTTTTCTGTGCTAAATATGGTTGGACTGTCGCAGCGAAAGTTTCACAAAATCAACATCCACGACTGGTGCGCCTTCGTATGAAAGTGATTTACACGGTCACAAATAAACGCCTGTCTTTGTTGACACGACTATGTTTTTTCATCTTTAAAACCCACAACGATTGCCTATGGTTTTTTTTATCAGTGCTGAAATCGCTTTATCGCGTTTTCGTTATCTGTTATTTACACGATATCGTGCGAATAGACACAGCCCAGGTCGTTGCCTATTGTACATATAAGAACTTCGATCTGATTGGATATCGCGTTTTCATTAAAAAAGGGGCACAACTCGTGATCTACGCTAGGTTGCGCCAGGATCGAGCCAAGAAAAGTGGCCTTGATGTGGCAAGGGTAGAAATTAGGCGACCCCTGAAGATCCAGGGTAGAATAGGTCTTCAGCAACCCATGCTTGTCATATAAGAAGCAACTAACGGGATCGGGCGGTCAGGTTTTTCTGATTTGGTTAATGCATGTCATCGTATCCCAATTGCGTGGATCGATGCTCATGATGTCAATCACTGGATTGTCTGGGCCAGACTTGATTTTTTACAGACCGCCGTCATATAGCTGGAATATTGCTTAGTGCAGCGTTAAACGACAAAAAAAAACAACAACAAAAAACTAGGCTTTTGATATAGGCTGGTGGACACGCTCGCCTCGAGAGGATGGGTTCCGTAGGGCACCATAGGCCTTTCTGTTCCACTTTGACCACATGTGACTTCGGGTACTCTGTCATCTTAATGGTTTGAGTGAGTGAGTGAGTATGGTTTTACGCCGCTTTTAGCAATATTCCAGCAATATCACGGCGGGGAACACCAGAAATGGGCTTCACTTAATGGTTTGAACCAATGTGACTGGACAGTAATCAATGACGCCCATGTGTGTACCGATAGAACTTCGGGGGCGTTCCTGCTGAACCATTGACATTTGTTGGAGAGCTGTGTACCTTACCAAGTCAGGAAACGCTCGGCCCACCTGCCTGCACAGCAAGGGGAGGAGAACGTTCTTTCTCAATCAGTGAGAAAGGGAACATCAAGCTGGGTGTACCCTCCCATCAGATTGTTGTGTGCAGGTAATGTCTTTGGAAGACATATGTGCCACTAGACTGCATCGCATACTTATTCCGTTTACGTTAAATTGGAAGGATGTAATGTCACACTTTTCTCGCCTCCCATGACACCGCCCATACACACACACACGCACATACTTCGTTTGGTGTCAGATATAAATGACGTTCCGTTACAGTAAAATCAAATACATGTCTTGCATAATCTGATGAAACAGGCGTCGTATTTCATCCGTGTGTTTTAATGTTAGCGACGTTTTTTTCTGCAATTGACAGGTTGAGATTTTTATTATTATAAAGGGGTCCTTATCTCCCGTGGAATCTGCTAACAAACAGGATGTTTATATTCACCATTTCACCCGCCTCAATATATACCACCCGGCACTGAAAAATATTTCCCACTTCATAAAAATATCCTCGCTGTATTTGGATTCTGCCAATCGCTTCGGAGTTTTCCTTGTTTAAGCTCAGCACAATAAGGACGACTTTAGCTTTATCAGCACGGGCACATTTGGAAAAGGTTCAAAATCTAAAACCAGTTCAAGATTCAAATTGTGTATCGTTGATGAACATATCTTAATATACCGAACATAAGTGATCATGAATATTTTTGTGGATATTTTTTGTTGTGAAGACTGAGTACACAATTTCATAAAATTATCCCAAAAAATTGATTGTCTAAGTATGAAGTGCACCTGAAGCGACCTCCTACAGAGGGTTGCCAGATCATCACGCAGAGTAGTATGATGTCAGAGAAAAAGATATGACATGAATGAGATTGCATCAATCAAATATGGATATTGATGATAAATTATATTTTATTTCTATCAATGAAATGTTGACACAACAGACATTGTCTGAACCATACCTGGATAAATCAGGGATGTGAAATCTCCGCGGAAACGCGGAAAATCGCGTTTTTTAAAACAGTAGTCCTCGGAAATAATCATCTTCCGCGTAAAAATTTAATAAATTTAAAAAAAAACACTCCGAAAGATATGATCGAAAACCGGACAATTGGCGCGGATTGTCCTGTTTTCGATCAGAGCTTTCAACAGCATAGGTTTTCGGACATCATACGTTTTCTGTCACGAATACTTGCACTATAACGTGGGGTGTGGCGTCACACAGAAATTGTAAATACTGAGAGTCAGCTGGTGGCTTGTTTTTAAGATAAATCTGTCTTTTAGCCTGTAAGTGAATGAGATGTTTTACAGTTGTTCATGTGATAAGCGAGAAAACTATGAATGTTTCTTCAGCGTCCAAAACCCCATGTGATGGGGATATATGTTGTATTAATGTCTTATGTTTGCAATGGAGTTTTGTTTTTTACATCAAAAGGTAAGTACAAGGTAAGTTTTTTTCAATATGCTTCAACATGGGGAAAGGGTCAGACATTGCACGCTTGTGACAGTTGTCCTTGTGTCTGGGGGATGGGGGTTGAAGTTTATGGCAGTATTGCTCCCAGACCTGGCGGGAAGCCAGGTGCGCGAAAGCTATGCCCAATTTTTTAAAAGTACTGATTTAACTTCGAAATTTTACTGCATCTGCCATCTTGTTTATTTGACTTATTGACTTTGGCCATTGACATATTACATTTCTTGGTGTGAATGTTGTCCAAACTGCACGAAATTGCTTAAAATGCAATCAAATGTTTTAAAAATTTCTGGGGGGCATGCCCCCAGACCCCCCAAGACTTTTCCTCTTTTTTGGGGAAAACCTGCTCACATCCCAGATAAATGAAGAAATACAAGAATGCATGTTGACACTCGCTTATATTGAAAAGGAAATACATAAAAACTTTGTGTACTTTATAAAATACCATGCATAACAATCAACCCGTGAAGATCCAGGTTAGAATTGGTCGTCAGTGACCCGTGCTTGCTGTAAGAGGCGACAAGCGCGATCGGGTGGTCAGGCTGGCTGACTTGGTTGATGCATGTAATCGTATCCCAATTACGAAGATCGATGCTCATGACATCAATCACTGGATTGTCAGGCCCAGGCTCGATTATATTTACAGACAGCCGTCATATTGCTGGGATATTGCGTTAAACAACAAACATACTATCAATTACTGGATGTTCTGGTCAAGACTATTTACAGACAGACAGCTGGAATATTGCTGAGTGGGGCGTTAAACAAAGGTATACACAATGGTTCCAAAAATAAAGTGCGAAAGCAACAATGATCACCTGGAGAAAACCAGAGGTACAGAAACAAACGAAAAAACTCCCACAGACTTAGTTGTGATAACATGTAATGATATATACACTGTTAACTAGCTAACATTATTGAAGACTGGGATGTATTAGATTTTGAGTCACAAGATATACCCTCCACATTTGTGTCCTTTTAACATCAATAATGTACGGAGGGTTCATGTATTCTGATTTGTCTGTTGAGTCATATCACTTCTAGGTAACATGGTCCTTAAGCACAAATTACAAGAGTTATTATATTATAATATAATTTCTTATTTCAATATTCATAAGAAATCTCTACCAAAAGCAGGGGTCTATTGTACGATTTCGATTATATCATGAGCATGTGTTTTTGAATACAATTAAATAATGATGATACCAGGTGTTAGTGAAATGGTGAGCGTATCCTGCCCCACCGGTGTCACCCGTCACAGACACATGCAATGGCAAGTCAATTTTAACCTGAACAAACACGTGAAGGTATGGTACAAGTCCAAATAGAAAATTGCATCTGACATTTTTTTGTCACATGCATCAAATATGGGAATATACTCCACATGTCTATCATAAACATTTTTGAAAACTGGTCTGAGGCCTTATATGTTGCAGTTTTGATCGAACAACCTTTGTCGTAGGAAGCTTCTTGAAATTTCTGAAGAAAAAGCATCCTCGATTGTACCTAAAAAGTTCTAAAATTGTATCATCACTTCCACTCGTTAACATCATCCTTAAGCACAACTTAAAAGAGTTAATCCACGATGCCATTTACTCATTGATCCCACATAGACATAATGTTAAACTGGATCCTGAATAATGAAGACTCCTTTTTTTTTTCTCCCAGTGAAAAAATCACTTAAGTTGCTCCAGTTAGAAAAAAAACAATCCGGAAAAATATGAATTTGCTTTGTTGACCAAACAATCCAAAGTATACCCCCTTAAACAGTAAAAGGCACCAGAGATTATAAATCCTCATTTTGAAGTTTCTAAAACATTCCTGGAAGTGATTTTAAAAATAGTACCGGCGGTTGTACATAAACAAGTTACATGCATTTCATCAGCTCGTTGAGTTTACACTTAAAATCATCAGCGACATTTTTTAACTCTTCCACAAAGTCAGACGGAATGTTTTTTTGCAAATCCTGAAATGATTTGAGCAGCATAAAAACAACCATAGACAGAGACAACATGTAGAGGTCAGGTGTAGGCATACTCATGGAACTCATAATAAGGTTCGATCCTAGGAACAACACGCTTACGATCACTGTGATGAAAGAGGTCTCGGTTGGACTCTCTACATTAATTTGATCTGAAGTGTAGTCGGGGGTGTGACCAAAGGTGCTAAACAGAGTATAAATCGTCAGAAAACACTTAAGAGTAACGAAAATTAATTCAAAGTGGTTTTGATTTGAAATGTTGTAGTCAAACGAAATGGTGCCATGACCATGTATAGCTTGTTGTGTTGTTTCCGCCCGTGGGTTGCTTTTTTTGGTAGGTTTTCTCGGATACACCTTGATCATGTGTTCCATAGCATATGTCTGTTGTCTCAGTACTGACCTCGCTCTATATACACAGTAGTATCTATAGATGAGTGGGAACAGTTCGAAAACAAACAGAAACACGTCGTATAATACCAAGGCACCATGTGCAATATTAGATAACCAACCTCCACCTTCGAGGCATAAACAAACAGTAAGCACAGCAACTACTACAGCTAATACAGATTCCACAAGAAGAGTGAACCATTTTGATCTTAAGAAAACCTTCCTGACATATTCATATTCCATGGCAATAATTTCCATTTCAACAGTGATGTCTTCTGAAATCTTCTCTTTCGACTCCTCCCAGGTCTGTGAATGTTTCTCTTGTTCTCTCGTCATTTCTTCAATCCTCCTCCTCAGCTTCAAAACTTCATCAGTAGGTTCTGAAACTGATGGAGTTGTAAGCAGTGAGTTAGTGAAAATGCGACGTTTGATATTTAAAATGATCTTATACCACAGAATAGACCTTCGAAATATATTTACCAATCACGTAGATAGTTTATGTTCGTTCGTTACCTGCACAGTAGTAATTATTTTCTCTGGATCTAACACTTACCCTCTTTTCCTTTTAAATCATCCGCTATTTTCCGAATTTCTTCTGCAGTTTGGGATGGTGTTTTCTTGTGAATAGTGATGCTGTTGGTGACTATTGTATGAATATCTAGAGGGACAGTCAACAAATTCATCACCACACCTGCAGCTTTTAGACCTTTTAGTCCTGTTTCTACAAGCTCTGTGGCGACCTTGGCTGTACCCAATACAGCCCCAACACGGGCCCCGACCTTAATCGGTTCTGTGCCGTCAATACCTTTTGACAGTTTTCCTCGAACACGGTTCCGTATTGATTCGAAAATGTTTGGTTTCAGCAATCTCTTCACAGTATCAGCCAAAAAGACTTTGAACGTCTTTGTATGTTTTGCCTCCATGTTGTCCATTAGACACAGCATGTCCTTCCCCTTTTTGTTAAACTCTCTGGCTTCCTTCTGGGCTTGTTTTAAAGTTTTTGAATTGACAATTTTATCTGCAAGCTCTGTGCAAAATCCCCCGACCCCGCTGGTCACTCCAATTGTCACCCCTGCAATGGTCAACCCCAGAGAAGCACCAAAGGTAACCGGGGCACAAGCAATCCCTGCTATGGTCAGTGCTGCTGCAACAATGCCTCCAGATGCAAAACTGGTTTTAGCTATGTTCATTTTCCGCTGTGCTTTGTCGAGTTCATCAGCCAAATCATAAAGACTTCTTACAGTTTTGCCACTCTGTGTGTTGACTTCCTCTATAGCAAGCTGTATCTTGTCCTTATATTCGTCAGCAGTCACGACTGGAGAGAGTGCCATTTTCCTTGGAATATATATCAACATGCAGGTTACATTTGCCTCTGAACATATCCATTTAAATCCTTAATACGAATATTCTCTGATACGTATGCTACTACACGCCAATATATACTAACGGAAAAAAGTAACCGTGCTTTATATAAAGTTCAATAAATACATTTGCTCTGGCACTCCGTTGAAGGGTCGGCATGCGTCCAGGAGAACACTTTAGCTACACTAGCGTTACTCAATGTCGTTAGTTTGAGGGCGAAAGTGTAATGGTGTGGGGTGGCATCACAACGCATGTGAGAACACAACTCATCATTGTTAAAAGCAATTTTAATGGCGTACGCTATCGGGACGACATCGTTCGAGATCATGTTCTACCCTTTGTGCAAATGCAAGGATATAACGTTATGTTGCAGCAGGATAATGCCCGCCCATACGTTGCACGTGCTGTAACATGCTTTTTTAGGCAGCATAACACTGCTGTACTGCCATGGCCTGCTGTATCGCCAGACCTCTCCCTACTAGAACATGTCTGGGATGAGATGGAGGGACGCCTACGACAGGAACAACCCCCCCCCCCCCCCCCCCCCCAGGTTTTTTTTAATTACCTGGTGACATCAATGCGCCGCCGCTGCCTCACCTGTATCACCGCAAATGGTGGTCACACCCGATACTGACATTGTTAAATGAGTTATCATTTGGCTGACTCCTGTTACCAAGTATTGGTTTTGTCAATAGATTTGTTAGGATAAAACATTGATCAGACGAATGACCAAATATTTTCAATAACTACACATTATATGAAGCACACTTATTGTTTCCCGTTAGTATGTTAATGATGCAACACTGGTAGTATGCCAATCAGACAGAAAACTGTTAGCATGTATGTAGACGATATGTTGATGGATATTATTATATGTTTGATTTCATTTAATATTCCTCACTGATTACAGAATAAAAACATCATGCCGGTTTCTTCATGTGACATTATTAACACTATAATATCACGTGAAACATTAGACAAGCTGTTGCAAATTAAATATTTAACTTCACTTTCACAAAGTGGGAAAACGTCTGTGACCTGCGTCTTTTCGAGATTTCTTCCCACATGAGGACTGAATTTTGAGTCAACTCACTTTTTCAGTTTGAGAAGAGAATTTGTTTTGTAATGGGATCATGGGATCTCAATGAACTGAAGTGGTCTGAAACAGGAATACGATCATGCCATCAACGCTAGTATCAGAGTTTGTTTTCAACATATTCGGAGTTGTACAGAGATGTGTTAGTCAAATGTGGGAAGAAAGCTCAAAGTGACCCATGTATTAGACATTTACAATTTTCAGAAACCGAACACCATAGGCACCATGTAATCAGATGAATCTAGTGTCTTTCAAAGCACGACCAGAATGCCGTATATTTGTCAAATAGGGGTAAGTATGAGTCCAACTTAGGTTTTTCTAATTCTCTTCATATATTTGTCCGAAAGCTGATTCTGCAGCAGGATTCGGGTGTCCACACCTTCCCTACAGTTTTATGGATATGGCTTGTTCAGATGAGACACTCGCAGTTGCTAAATTACAATTCTACCATGAATAAAGATTGGTCAATCAGAGGTTATGAACCCAATAGTTGACTGTGCTACATGCTTTCAAAGCCTGTCATATGTTCGATTGAAGAATTACGTCTGCTTGGCCACAAAGAGCTCCATATTTTGTTTAAAAGCTTTTGTGATTGATTCCGTGATGCAGATCGAAAACCACATTTTATTTAGTCATGATAGAAAGAGATAAACATACTGTTTTCAATGTGGAGCTAGGTTACCTGTAGATTTAACCGCGATTAATTTACCCGGTTCCAAATTAAATTGAGCCTGGTTAAATGTACAGGTGTCCAAGCTCTACATTGAAACACAGTATGTTTTTCTCCCAATTGCCAGCCAACCTATGACACTGTGATGTATTGTGATTTGGTAATGAAGACATATTCAAGCCTAAATCAAAGTTGTCAGGTAGATGCAGAAACGTACCTGATAACGATCTTCGCTTGCCTGGACTGATCATTGAATTACACGCAGCTCCGCAAACATAGAAACAATACACTGGGGACAACCACTATCTATTTCCGTTCGATACTACGTCAACAACAAGGCACTTGGACATGTAATTCCCACGGTGTGAAACTTTCAAGTACTCGTATCAATTGTAAAATTGTTTCCGTGATTCATATTTTGTTTTATATCAGAATAAAATGAACGTGAACCTAAATGTCAAACTAAAAGTTGAAACTCAATCTTTCAATCTTATACCTTTAACCAACGCCTGATATATTTGTAGTATATTTAAGTCATGAAGAAGTTGTTCTAAATCAGGAATATTCTTGCTATATCACAAAGGTCTTTAAACAATCGAATCTGTTACAGGGAAGCAAATGAGCAACGATCGGGGGACACACAACCACATCCGTACTGGTCGCGACCCATTCAGACCCGGGTCCCCGCTGAGATTGATATGAAAGAAATATTGAAAGTTAGACCCTAATTATTCGTTCAATAATATGCGGAGGGGACAACCCGATCGAACTTGGTAGTCTCTTGCCGCTAATTCTGACCTTGTTTGTCACAGGGTTTACTGTCAAAGGGACTTTGAAACTAACGGACGTAATATTTACTTAAATGTGTACAAAGAGCAGAGCAGTTTGTTTTACGATGTTCTTAGCTTACACAGAGAGGCCTGAAGATAATCGAGTCTGGGCCAGGCAAACCAGAGGTTGCCAGTTTTCCACGTATTCATGTCACAATGCCACCTAGTCCTTATTAGACCGCCTCCGTGGTCTAGTGGTAGAGCGTCCGCCCGGAGAGCGGAAGGTCCAGGGTTCGATCCCCTGCCGCGTCATACCAAAAGACGTTAAAAGATGGTACTTGTTGTAACCCTGTCTGGCGCTCGGCATTAAGGGGCTAAAACAAGGACTGGTCGGCTCGGAGTCAGTATACTGTGTCTGATTGGGGTATTCATGTTAAACTGCGGCATGGTATCTCAGTGGGCTAGCACTATAAATCGGCATCAGTCCGGACTAGTACAAGCAGACACACAAACACACACACGTGCATGCACGTCGCTATATGAGTGCAATAATCTTCGACGCGACGTTAAACCCAATTTCACCTCACCTCACCTAGTCCTTATTGGTTTGGTGGGTAGCCTAGTGGTTAAAGCGTTCGCTCGTCACGCCGAAGACCCGGGTTCGTGTCCCGACATGGGTACAATGCGTGAAGCCAATTTCTGGTGTCCCCCGCCGTGATATTGCTTGAATATTGCTAAAAGCGGCGTAAAACCATACTCACTCACTCACCCACCCAGTCCTCATTCGTTAACACATATACTACTCCACTTTTGATAGGGATATTTCTGTCTTTCAATCATACACAAATATATTCTCATATTAAATCAAGTGTATACTAATAAGATGACATGTTTTTCTAAGCCTATCAAAGGTTTAGTAGTATACAAAATGGGGTAATGAAACCTGAAGATAGAACCAAGTCATTGAAACTAGGAAATCAAAAGTGAAATTCTAATCCTATTATTGTTTCATTTGCAGACAAATGGCAAGGTTCAACATGACTGTTCTTTCCCATCCCCTGACCGCGTGCAACCGGTAACTGATACCGGCGTGGGAAGGGAATTCCAAACTCACGAAAACGGAAATTTATCATTCAAATCTGGCTTCTACAGAAGATATCACGCGGTATGAGATCCATTGATGTTTCATCGATAAGACATATCGCTACCATGATATTGCATCACTGTGTTTTGCAGACCATTGTCATCGGTTATCATGACGTCACAACTAAATTACATCATTAATCTCTCTGCATCAGGAACTGGTTAGCTGTACATAACTTACACTTATTGAAAAGTTAATGGAAACCTTATAAAAAAAATCCAGAAAAATTTCCATCGGGTGACAAAGCAGACCTATGAAGCCAAATGGTCCACTTATTACTGGTGTCTCCAAAACGTCAACGCCAGAGAATATATATATACTCGTTGATCTGCCGAAACATACAACTTGGCGAAATTGTCAGGAAAATTAATTGAAAGGATCACTGAAAACCAGTGATGACACCAGGTGTTCGCGAAAAGAGTAATCATGTCCTGCCCTACCGACAGCACCCGCCACATTATTCATATGTTCCTCAAATACCCCTGCCATACGACGGCGGCCTGGAAAGAATCGAGTCAGGACCAGACAACCCAGTGGTCAGTATTGTGAGCAATGAGATCCACCTCGTTGGAGTACGATGTCACGCTGTCAACCAAGTTTAACCCCCCCCCTTCACCATAAAAGTTACTGCAAGTGAGGAAGCGTGAAATCTCCCTGCAAAGTCAATCGTATTTCATAGCATCGTGTATCATGCCGACCAGCAGTGTGTCATATTTCCTCTAAATGTCTACCACATAAAATGTCAGCAAAGACTTCACCAAGCCTTTGATGGTGGAACCTAGAATGATAAGTTTATTTGTAAGCCAAATGTGTATTCTTTGACATTTGTAATACAATTACAGGCTGTATAATACAGTGTTCAACAGAAACTTGTGAGTATCCTTTTCGTAACGTGTATTTACGTTATTTACGTTGCATCTCTAACGTTTCGAAAATTGCTTAACGGCTAAGGCAGAATGATGCTGTAATTTAAATGCTTTGAACACTTTTTGTATGTTAATATTGCATGCACAATGTATGAAAGATGACATTCTGGTTGGAAAGAAAACAATCAGCAGTCTTTGTTAATGTCAATAGCCATCCAAACATGTACAGCGCACCGTGTTATCAGTGTATTCTACTGTCACACATGTGGGAGTGTATCAAAAAGGTGAAAGCCGATACTAGCAGGCACATGTATGGAGACTTTTCACTTTCTTTATCAGGATTGAAATAATTTGACAATAGGCAATAGTTTCAGTTTCAGTCCAAGTTTGATTTGATACGTTGATGGTAAAATATATCAATATTGGATAATGTGTCATAGTAATAAACGTCTTGACATATAACGATAAGGAATTAAACAACTTACTTATGACATTCCTCATGGCACTATCGTTAAAATATCTCGGCTGGTTGACATAACCTTCTAGAACACTGATACAGGATGTTTCGAATGCAAAGACGCACTGTGGGTGCTTGGAGTGGCTTAAGACTGCTTCACGAATGCACCAGACATATCTTGGATGCTGGTGTGGCTTAAGGATGCTTTACGAATGCACCAGACATAGCTTGGATGCTAGTGTGGCTTCAGACTGCTTCGCGAATGCACCAGACATATCTTGGATGCTGGTGTGGCTTAAGGATGCTTTACGAATGCACCAGACATAGCTTGGATGCTAGTGTTGCTTCAGACTGCTTCGCGAATGCACCAGACATATCTTGGATGCTGGTGTGGTTTCAGCTATTTTAAGAATGCACCAGACATATCTTGGATGCTGGTGTCACTTCAGCTATTTTAAGAATGCACAGACATATCTTGGATGCTGGTGTGGCTTCAGCTATTTTAAGAATGCACCAGACATATCTTGGATGCTGGTGTGGCTTCAGCTATTTTAAGAATGCACCAGGCATATCTTGTATGTGGCGTGGCTTCAGCTATTTTCAGAATGCACCAGACGTATCTTGGATGCTGGTGTGGCTTAAGGTTGCTTTACGAATGCTACAGACATATCTTGGATGCTGGTGTGGCTTAAAACTGCTTTACGAATGCATCAGACATATCTTGGATGCTGGTGTGGCTTCAGCTATTCTAAGAATGCACCAGACATATCTTGGGTCCTGGTGTGGCTTAAGGCTACTTCGCGAATGCACCAGACATTGATTGGATACTGGTGTGGCTTAAGACTGCTTCACGAATGCATCAGACATATCTTTGATGCTGGTGTGGTTTTAGACTGCTTCACGAATGCATCAGACATAGATTGCTTGTGTGGCTTCAGCTATTTTAAGAATGCACCAGACATATCTTGGATGCATGTGTGGCTTAAGACTGCCTCACGAATGCACCAGACATATCTTGGATGCATGTGTGGCTTTAGCTATTTTAGGAATGCACCAGACACATCTTAGATGCCGGTGTGGCTTCAGCTATTTTAAGAATGCACCAGACATATCTTGTATGTGGTGTGGCTTCAGCTATATTCAGAATGCACCAGACATATCTTGGATGCTGGTGTGGCTTAAAGCAGGGTATGAAACTGCCAAAAAATTCAGCCAGACCACAGGACTGGCTAGCTGAAATACTTGCCAGCCCTGACCAAAACCTGCCTGCCCACTATAATCATATGTTTCTCAGGATAAGCTAACGGGGTTTCTTTTTGCTTACATTTTATCATTCATCTTTACATGTGAATTAATGATTATCATCGGGAAATATTTAGAATATTGTCACATATGAAATATAACCCAGGGGGATTTGAAAATCTGGCAGCCCGAGTTGAAATCAACCCGTCTCGGACGGTCGGGCAGGCAGGTATTTCGAACACGGCTTAAAGCTGCTTAACGAATGCACCAGACATATCTTGGATGCTGGTGTGGCTTAAAGCTGCTTTACAAATGCACCAGACATATCTTGGTTGCTGGTGTGGCTTAAAACTGCTTCACAAATGCATCAGGCATATCTTGGATGCTGGTGTGGCTTCAGCTATTCTAAGAATACACCAGACACATCGTGGGTGTTGGTGTGGCTCAAAGCTGCTTTACAAATGCACCAGACATATCTTGGATGCTGGTGTGGCTTAAAACTGCTTCACGAATGCATCAGACATAGATTGCTTGTGTGGCTTCAGCTATTTTAGGAATGCACCAGACACAACTTGGATGCTGGTGTGGCTTCAGCTATTTTAAGAATGCACCAGACATATCTTGGATGCTGTAGTGGCTTCAGCTTTTTTAGGAATGCACCAGACACATCTCGAATGCTGGTGTGGCTTCAGCAATTTTAAGAATGCACCAGACATATCTTGGATGTGGTTTGGCTTCAGCTTTTTTCAGAATGCACCAGACATGTCTTGGATGCTTGTGTGGCTTAAGGTTGCTTTACGAATGCACCAATCATATCTTGGATGCTGTAGTGGCTTCAGCTATTTTAGGAATGCACCAGGCACAACTTGGATGCTGTGGTGGCTTCAGCTATTTTAAGAATGCACCAGACATATCTTGGTTGCATGTGTGGCTTAAGACTTCTTCACGAATGCACCAGACATATCTTGGATGCTGGTGTGGCTTTAGCTATTTTAAGAATGCACCAGACACATCTTGAATGCTGGTGTGGCTTCAGCTATTTTAAGAATGCACCAGACATATCTTGGATGTGGTTTCGCTTCATCTTTTTTCAGAATGCACCAGACATATCTTGGATGCTTGTGTGGCTTAAGGTTGCTTTACGAATGCACCAGACATATCTTGGATGCTGGTGTGGCTTAACGCTGCTTTACAAATGCACCAGACATATCTTGGATGCTGGTGTGGCTTAAAACTGCTTCACAAATGCATCAAGCATATCTTGGATGCTGGTGTGGTTTAAGCTATTCTAAGAATACACCAGACACATCTTGGGTGTTGGTGTGGCTTCAGCTAT